TAGGTCTTGTACCTGGTATTTTTAGTATTTAGAGGTGTCTTTCCAATAATAATAGCTCAGCTGCTGCTTCTGGAAAAAAAAATAGCTGATGTGTTCAAACAGTTTAAGCATCAGATTTCTTTTCTGATTTCTCAGTTTAGAAAGAAAAGCGATAGGCAAAACTTAGCTGACAGACTGGGCTGCTGCAGTAACCTCCTGGGGAAGTGGTGGTGAGTTGGGGAATGGTAGGCAACATCTTCAGCTGAATACAGATTACGGGCGTAAGTCACAGGAAAACCACCTTAAAGACAGTCTAAACTTGTTGACTGGAAAAGGGTGATCTTTGGTTTTCATAAGACCTCAAGTAGGTGGAGCCACTTTCCATCATTTACCAGCAGTCCTGGCAAACTGGGGAGGTCCCAGCCGACTGACATCTAGCAAATGTGACACCCATCCACAAGAAGGGTCGGAAGGATGATCCGGGGAACTCCAGGCCTGTCAGTCTGACACTGGTGCCTGGGAAGGTCATGGAACAGATCATCCTGAGTGCCCCTGTGCAGCGCATGAAGGATGCCCAGGTGATGAGGCCCAGCCAGCACGGGTTCACGAGGGGCTGGTCCTGCTTGACAAACCTGATCTTCTTTTATGATAAAGGGACCCACATGGTAGATGAGGGAAAGGCTGTGGATTTTTTTTAGTGGATTTTAGTAAGACCTTTGATCTCCTGATCTCCTGTGATAAAGTGACCTGCTTGCTGGATGAGCAAGCTGGATGAGCTGGAAAGGCTGGGGATGTTGTTTACCTGGACTTTAGCAAGGCCTTTGATACAGTGTCCCACAGTGTCCTCCTGGAGAAACTGGCTGCCCACGGCTTAGATGGGTATACTCTGCACTGGGTTAAAAACTGGCTGGAGGGTCAGGCCCAGAGAGTGGTGGTGAATGGAGTTAAATCCAGCTGGTGGCTGGTCAGGAGTGGTGTCCCACAGGACTCTGTACTGGGACCCATTCTCTTTAACATCTTTATCAATGATCTGGACGAGGGGATCGAGTGCACCCTCAGTAAGTTCGCAGATGACACCAAGTCGGGTGGGAGTGTCGACCTGCTGGAGGGTAGAGAGGCTTTGCAGAGGGATCTGGACAGGCTGGATCAATGGGCTGAGACCAACAGGATGAGTTTCAATAAGGCCAAGTGCCGGGTCCTGCACTTGGGTCACACCAACCCCATGCAGAGCTACAGGCTGGGGGCAGAGTGGCTGGAGAGCTGCCTGGCAGAAAAGGACCTGGGGGTGTTGGTCGACTGTCGGCTGAACATGAGCCAGCAGTGTGCCCAGGTGGCCAAGAAGGCCAACAGCATCCTGGTCTGTATCAGGAACAGTGTGGTGAGAAGGACCCGAGAGGTGATCGTCCCCCTGTACTCGGCACTGGTGAGGCCTCGCCTCGAGTTTTTGGGCCCCTTCCCACAAAGAAGACATTGAGGTGCTGGAGTGGGTCCAGAGAAGTGCAACGAAGCTGGTGAGGGATCTGGAGAGTAAGTCTTATGAGGAGAGGCTGAGGGAGCTGGGGTTGTTCAGTCTGGAGAAGAGGAGGCTGAGGGGAGACCTTATCGCGCTCTATAACGACCTGAAGGAGGGTGTAGAGAGGTGGGGGTTGGTCTCGTCTCCCAAGTCACAGGAGATAGGACAAGGGGAAATGGCCTCAAGTTGCACCAGGGGAGGTTTAGATTGGATATTAGGAAACACTTCTTCACCAAAAGGATTATCAAGCATTGGAATAGGCTACCCAGGGAAGTGGTTGAGGCACCATCCCTGGAGATATTCAAAAGATGGGTTGACATAGGGCTTAGAGATGCGGTTTAGTGATGGTTTTTGTCAGAGTTAGGTTGATGGTTGGACTAGATGATCTTTAAGATCCCTTCCAACCTAGATGATTCTAGGTGATCCACAAACTCCAGAGCTTTTTTTGTGGTTTTGAAGAAGACCTGTGTACCAGTCTATGTATGCAAACAAGTGGACAAAATTAAGGTGCACTTAAAGAGGTAGTTAATGAGCATTCGAAGCATAACCCAGTTTTTTAAGTGAAAGCTGTTTAAGTGAAAGAAAAGTGTTACGCAAGATTGTTCACGGTTCATTTGTTTGGTTGGTTTTTTTCCCCAAAGGGTAGGTGGTTCTTCAGCTCCTGAAATAAAAATGAGTCTGCATTGGGATAGACATATAGCAGACGATTAAAACTGGATAACTTATGTTATCACTGATGCCAGGCTTCCATTGAGTTTGCCCTTATATACGGAGCTGAAAGTTGTGCCGGCATTTGAACTCATTCACAAGTGGTCACAAGCTCCTGCCCTGAGGGTGACTCTGCTTATTAGAGAGGTATAGTTGCAGCAAACTGTTTTAATCCTCTGCGGCATGTCTGCTAAACCAGTTAAAAATGTTTTTGTATGAGTAATAAGTGCCACAAATAATCATTCTAGTATTTAAAATCCATCTGCAGTAATTATAGCCACCTGTTTGATTTCAGTGCAAGGCTAATTCACTCTGATTCTGAGTAGATCTGACTGCTTTTTCTAGCCTGCTCAATGCTAGTGACATGTAATACACTGGCATATCTGGCAAGAAGACATGTTTTGAAGTACTTTTAACTAGTACTTCAAGTAGTAACACAACCAGAGCCCATGTTTTTAAAATGACCCTTGCATTTTCTTTTTTTTTTTTTTTTCCTCCACATTGCTTGACTGGTTTTAAGGAGTTCTTTGAATCTGAAAGAGCAATTGAGGTTAATATGAATTAAGGAAGGTGGTCTCTGACTACAGCATCCTTGCTAAGTTATTCTGTTTAGAATAATTTATGTTTCTGATAGCCAGTAAGAGGCTCAAAACTAAATAGAAATGCAGTCTTGTATTGCAATTGCACATCCAGATCCAAACAAAATAAGTAAAAATTAGGTCAGAAATGAGTAGTCAGTTTTTCCACAGCAAGATTCCAATTTGAAATTGGCACTTGTATAGTGGGTGGTGTAGTTGAGATGTGCATGGAGCAGGCAGGTTTCTGAACAGCATGTACAATGCTGTGTTCTTTCTAATTTTGCTCTTTATTGAAGTATCCTGGTATCAGAAACTGATTTCAAAGATTGCCCTTTATCCAGAGATTACATAGTAATTCTGGGGATGAAAATCATAGAATGGTTAGAGTTGGAAGGGACCTTAAAGATAATCGAGTTCTAACCCCCCTGCTATGGGCAGGGACACCTCCCACTAGAGCAGGTTGCTCAAAGCCCCATCCAGCCTGGGGCATCCAGCCCAGTCCCATCCAGGGATGGGGCATCCACAGCTTCTCTGGGCAACTTGTTCCAGTGTCTCACCACCCTCACATTACAGAATTTCTTCCTAATATCTCATCTAAATCTCCCCTCTTTCAGTTTAAAACCATTACCCCTTGTCCTATCACTCCACTCCCTGATAAAGACTCCCTCCCCATCTCTCCTGTAGGCCTCCTTCAGGTACTGGAATATTTTTACTGCTCTAGGGATCGAGCAACTCAAAAATCTTGAGAAGAAAAAATTACTGGAATATATTATGTCAAGTGGTTTGTAGGTTAAAGAAAACATAAGCTAGGGTTGTTTATGCAGCACAAATAAAACTATCTTCTGTGTACAGATATGACTGTCCTTACTACATACAAAAGGCTTTATTTACCACTCTTCCACCGTATGCACTGAGTGGATAGTTCTTTGAAGTTTTCTTTTTAAATATGGTGTTACAGACTTAATGTTAGCCGCCTAAGCTTTGATCAGAGATCTTAGACGGGCATTTCTATGGAGCTATGAATTAATTTGTTTCTTAATATTGTGACAAGAGGCTTTTTTCTCTTTTTGGGCAGGCAACGGAGATGCAGCTGACAGGGCTGTCACTTGTCCAATGCGAGTAACCTTAATTCAGTAACTTGCTCAGCATTGCACAGGTGCTTTTTGTAGAAAGAATAGATCAGTTTCCTTGGTCTGAGAGCAGTGTTTCTGCTGATTGACTTAAACCAACACCTTTTTCAGCCAATAGCGTAAGTATAGGGGCCAAGCAGACAAAATGCTTGCTTCCTTTTGGAGAACTTTGTTGTAAATAGAGCACAGAATTTGGGAAAATGGGGAAGGAAACACATAATGAACTTTAATCCTATGCTAGATGTGTATGGATTGAGTGGATAACCTCAGTTTATTCTGCTTTATAATACACAATTTCTCTCCATTCACCCCGCCCAGCCTGCTGCTTCTTAATGCTGAAAATTTCTGAACAAACCCCAGAAAACTTAAATATGTTTTATCTTGGAATTTGACATTCCAGAATCAATTAATGCTGTTGGAGGCTTTGTACTACTGCTTGGGTTTCTGCTACTTCAACTCAGTGACTTGTAGTGTTGTTGAGTGGTCCTCTCTTCCACAGAACAGTAACAATCCTCCTCTGGTTGTTGGATTCCATAGCTGTGAGCTTAAAGTAGACGTGCAGGCTCAGACTTCTAATTTCAGCTTGTCTATCTGGAGGTGTGCTGTCTCATGATCAGCAATTAATGTCTGTCTCTAATGGGCCTCCTCTTTTCCCCACCCTTATTGCTCCTGCAGCGGTCTTGCAATTCATGTCTTCCATTGGAGCTTGGCTGCCTTATCCTGTAGTATGCTAGCAAGATCTTTAAGAGAACATGAGAGAAACAGGGTTTGTTTTCAATTTATTTAGCTTAATGTGAGTAAAATGAGATTTTTCTTTAGCCTGTCTTTTCTGGAAATGTCTGAGCCATGTCAACACGTGTAGTATTTTTGCTGAAGACAGGTTGATCAATACAGAAGGGAAAAGAAGTAGATGTCTTTAAAACACACAATGTCTGGCAACATTAACTATAAGTGCTTTTAATATTTTGGTGAATCTGGAACTGGAGAGAGTAAAGCAGAAGACTGTAAGGTGTAACCAACTCATTTCAGTCAGTTTGATAACTGCAATTCAGTTGTTATTAAACCGCTAGTAATCTGTATCTGCGCGTGTAGGCCAGAAGCGAGCACCTAAGCGGGGAGAACAGCAAAGGTTCAATAACAGAAGTGCAGAAGTGAAACAAGACAAAACTGAATGGAGACCATCTTTCCGGGAATACCGTTCCTATGAAGCAGACGGACGAGTGGAATTCACAGTGGAAAGGTACATAATTATACTGGGAGAAGTAAGGATCTGCACGGGGTGGGAAGGGAGGACGTAACTGTCTTAAAAAGGGATCTAGTAGCCAGATGTGACTTGAAGGCATGGTTGCATTATTAGTGTGTAGATTTGTTGCAAGATGACCTAGTTCATGCCCATTAGCTGTAATTCCAGCTTCCTCACAGATCAATTTAGAGCAGTTTTGTTAAATGTTAGAAATAAAAGGCAAAACTGAAAAGTGTAAAGATCTGAAAATGTAACCCCTAGCCTGCAATGTACATGTTCATTTCTGAGCTCGCGTACCAAGCTTTGCAGAACATGGTTCCATGTTGAATTAATTTTCTAGTTCAAACTGAAAGTAAACCTTTGTTTTACTATTTAAACTTTAAAGGCTTACTGTTATTGTTGCAATATTTACTGCTTGGATGGTGAATGTATATCAATTTTGCTTTCTATATAAGTACTAGAAAATTCCACCTAAACCTTTAACACTTGAGAGCATGGCTGTTTATACTTTGTATCGCAATATTCATTGTTTAACGAAGTCCCTGAAATTTTTAGCAGTTGCCTATAAATCTGGGTTTGGATAGTGGAGGCTGTTGCTTGCTAAATATGTCATAGTTCCCACTGAGTTCAGTTTATGTCCATTTTAATGACAAAAGTCAAACAACTGTACTATGTGCTGTGTAAAGATGCACTCTAAAAATTACACAGTAGCTCTCTTACTGACTTCTTCCACAGCTGCACAAATACAACTATACAAATTTTTTCTTCCTTGTTAACTGTTCTATAGAAACAAAGATCTGACTAGAAATCTTCTTTTTAGACCGATTGAAAGATTAGACCGTGAAGGGCCATTAAGAGGTTGTGGCGGAGGAAGAGGTGGAATGCGAGGTAGAGGAAGAGGTGGTGGAATAAACAGAAGTTTCAATGGTTTTGACCAAAGAGGAAAACGGGGATTTGAAAGACAAAGTGGGAACGTTAAAATGTAAGTGTTCTATAACCTGCTACTTATGTGGTGTACAAGTAAACAGCAGTCAGCACTGCAGTAGTGTCTCTGTTCTAGAACTGTATTCTGTTCCCCTCTTCTATATCCAAGTTGGCTGGCAAAAAGTCAATACTGCCTTTAGTTTGAAGCCCTAATGAAAAAAAGCTCTTTAACTCCTATAACCCTGTTTCTGTCTCTAGAGGGATGAAAGCAGATGACAAAAAGGGTGGAGGTGAAGCTCCCAACTGGGTAACAATTAAAGATGATACAAGGTACAACGTATACTTGCACCCACGGTAGATCATCATTTTCCATGGCCCACCTTAGGTCACACGTTTCTGTTCATCAGTTTCATGTCCATTTTGAGCTTTGTAAGCCTTGCTTTCTATTAATTGTTGTGATTAATATAGTTTTATGGTTTTCTGAACTAGTTTCTTTCATGTTGGTGAGATTAAATTGTAGCAAAGGCATGCTTTTATTTCTTCAGTTAGGATTGCCAGAATCTTTTGACTAGGGGTAAATTGTCTCTTAACAGAAGTAAGTTATGGCTTTTCTCAATAGTAGAGTGAGACTGTGATATCTAATGGCATTGCTACAAGAGGCTGATTAAAAGATTGAAACTGTGTTAGTGAGCTTAAAGTCCAATTTCTTTTTGTCATGTTTAAGTATTATTTCTAAATTGCAAAGCTGTAATACAATTCAGTGTGGCTCTTGAGGTAATATTTAGCTCCCTGTACTTCTGAAATATATTTTGAAGTGCACAGGAGGATCAGTAACAGAATGCGATGGCTTAATAATGGTCAATTACATTAATAAAAATGGTAAATTTTCAATTCTGTCTTTCTTTTATTAGTTTCTGTTCAGATTTGCTAAAAGCTCACTGGAAGTCTCAGCTTTTGTCCATTCCTTGCACCTATCAGTGTGCTACTCTTTCCAGTAGCTTTTGTTCTCGTATGCCTCTAGAACCCTTTAATTGAAGGCTGATAAAGGGCAGAGAAAAGGCAGTGCTTTGTACTTACAGCAAAATTTCTGGCAATGTACACACTCGTTCACAAAATTGGTTTAGAAATAAAATTTTTATTTTTAAAACTTAGATCATGGATTCAGGCAATCTGGCTAAAAGGTAGAAAAGTACAGCCTCGATGGGTAATAATTTTGGGGTTTGATATTCCAGCTTCTTCTGAAAGGCTTTTTTTCTATTTCATACTAAAAGTAAAATATTGGTTAGGTACTCTCGTCTTTCAAAACAAAGGAACATACTTCTGAACACAAATCTAGCTGAACAAAAGCACTAAAGTAGCTTCTGTAGGATGTCAGGGAATGTTGTGTGAACTTCATAAAGTACAAGATTTAAGATCCCTTGTTTATTCTCCCTAGTTAATTTTTTTAAGTTCAGTAGAATCAGAACGTATGATACAAACATGAGATGTCTGTACTTTGTGATGTGGTGTGTGTGGTAGAAGTGACATTAAATTGGAGTTGTCTAAATAATTCCAAAAGTATGTCTGTGCCTGAATAATGGTCAGTGCATCAAAGATAGAAGACGTTAATTTTAAATACATATGCCTATCAGTAGCATGAAAGTAGATATGCTGCTGCTCACATTTGACAGTGAACTAATGTACGTGTTATAAAAGGTACAAACTTGGAGTATTAATTTTGCAATTTTAATAGTTGAAAAGAAACAAAAACGCAATCCCAAACATCAGTGATACACTGTAATCAAGTACTGGTATTCGTATTTGAAATTAAATTATTTTGTCTTGGTGTGTGCTTTTCACTTTTCTGATTAAAAGGACAAGGAAGCTGGATTTTCCTAATGCTTCTCATCTTGTTACTTGCTCAACTAGTCACTTAGTAGACCTACTTTCTGCTTATGATCCTAGAGTTTTTCTGCTCTATTTTTTCCCTTCCCAAGGAATTCTGGAAAAAAGTGAGGTATCGATCTACAAGTTGTTTTTTTTCCAATGTGACCCATGCAGACTTTGTGGTTTTTCTGTTTACTGTTTCAGTGGGATGGAACAGACTGCTCCTATGGAAGAGACTGCAGAAAGAGCTGAGCAGCCAGGGGCATCTGAAGGAGACCCTCTGAACAAGTATAGTCTGACTGAAATATTTTCTTTCTAAATGCGAAGAAAACAATTGACTGTTACTGATACACTTGTATTGGGAGGCACACTTGAATGTGAACTGTGAAGTTTTGCTAGTGCACATATTTAAAAATAGAAAAGCTTTTTCTATATTTGTAAGTCAAGAAAATGCGTCCCTAATTCTGACTAAACCTTGGCTTATACAGCTGCAAATTGCACTTAATTGCTCAGAAATGCTTATGTTTCTAAGATTTGGTCATAGTTTAAGAAGCAGCTACACATGGTCTGTTACCTTTTCAACTTGAGTGATTTGTAAAAACTGCCCTGCGATTCAAAAAATGCAAGTAATCTACAAGTACAAAATTCTGCATCATGTATTCTTTTCAGCGTGGTAAATATTGTCCTGAGGACTCACAAATCTATATACAAAATATGAATTACACGTACCTTATTGCACTTACCTTTGGAGGTAGAGTCAGCTTGGTGACTGTATGTATTTTAAAATAAAGAGGACACATTCTATGACTAGTACCTAGGTAATTAGGGGTAGTTGTATGGCATCCACCTTAACAAGGTGGAATTATTTTTGTTGTTGTTTTAGTATTTGGAAACTGGTGGGGTGTAGTTTTCAGGCTTCAGAAGGTATTTTAAAGCCTTGTATGCTTACATTGCCTCTGTCCGGAGTTGCTGTCTTCTGGCAGGTAACATACACCAGCAAAAGATCCTAGCAAGGTTACCTTCCGCTTTCACTACAGACTCAATATTGAGGCTATAGGAACATGTGTTCACTCTAAGCTACTGCTAGGATTGTTCTCATTTTGACTCTTAAATGCAGTGTCTCCAAGGAATTAATTTCTTTTCTACTGCTTTGTTGCAGTTGTGTGCTTGTATTGAGGAATGCATGAAAAACTTGGGTTTGTTTCTTCTCTTATTCTCTTTCCTGTTGTAACTGTTTCCATTTACAAGAAAAAAATGTATTGCAGTAAATTGGGAATAATCTGTGTGGAGATATTGTATAGCTTCCTGGTGTGGTACTGATTAATAGTTTCAGTGCAACTCTGGTATTTATGTGGTCTTGCCTTCCAGACTGTGTCCCCATTGCTGTTTTTGAGCTTCCATTTGCAAAATATTGCAGGACAAGGGTTTCTTTGATACTTTCATAATATAAATCAAGTTATTTTTTTCCTTATCTTCAAATTTCCTTGAGTGTATCAACAATATCTATCTCTGTTTATCACATCCCAAGCTGCACGCTAATCGTTGTGGGGGTTTTGTTGCAAGTAATACGTACAAAATATATAAATAGTACACCAGTTTCAGCTTTCCTCGCAGCAGCTTTCTGTTGAACTTGTCTTCACAGTCTGAACAATGTAACACACTTCTGTTGATTGGTAGTTCAAATGAAAAGATTTTATTTTTTTTTTATTCAGTACAACACATAGTCTAATCAATTCCTATCTAAGGTATTTGCAGAGTTTGTATCTATTCTGTGGGGGTTTTCTTCTGTTTCTTCACACAAGACTTTATTCCTTTTAGGTAGAGCTATGTATTCTTCTGACCGTTTAATAGGGAGCCTTCAAAATTTGCCTTTAGGTTTGCTGAGCTAGTTACCTTTCATGTTTATGTTATTTTGGTTTTGTTTGGGGTTTTTTGGGGTTCTTTTTTTGTTTGTTTGTTTTTTATAGTGTCATAAAACTATCCATAGAACAGGCCAGATCTTCTTAAGTATTTGGTTCAGTGTTTTCCTTTTATAGTCAACTTTATGGTTGTTGCTTGCTCTTGCCTTGTTTACCTTTGAACTTTGCTATAACTGGTGGTAATGCTCCTATAAATGATGTTTGATAGGAAAGAATCGTGTCATTGATTCCTTAATAAAAGCTGAATAAAAATTTACTTTGTGCAGCCAAATAATACAAAAACTGACCTGAAAAAGACCCACTATCATTATTTTTAATGATACGAAAATAATCAGCTGAACAAAACACTGAAGCAGTAGGAACTGTTACTGAAGGTTCCCGTCTGGGGCTTTGGTATGGGCTTGCATTGTGTATTCAGTTTATTTGTGTCCAGAGGCTGTGCTTAGGTGCCTGGCAGTGTTTTTGTAAGTACGATTGTTGATGTGCCAAGGAGCTTATTAACTTGATTAATGAAAATACACACCAAGCAGTTCCTAAAAATGTGTAAGGTTAAAAGATAGAAGGTAACGTGCAGAGTGCGCTCCCATAGAGGCTTGGTGCCCAGAGTAAGTTCTTACAATTGAGTCTCTATACAAAATATGATATGCAGCTTCCTGTTGCTCTGCTTCACTAACCAGAGGTGTTTCCCCTTAGGAGTCCTGGCATCCAAAACCAAATTTGTACTGCTAATAACCTAGCAGTTGAAACCATCCTTTGGCGTAAAAATCAAATCAATCATGAAAAGATCATTATTTGCAGTGTAAATCCACCAGTATTTCCTTTAGAGCAGGCAAGAGGTTGTTTTTGACAGATGTGTACTTTTGAAAGCAACAATAGTGATTGTTTCGGGTTTTTTTGAGTGGTGAAGTTGCTGTGTAGTGAAATGTTCTCATCTTGTCTTACGTTCATAGAAATTTAGATCTGAAGGGGCTACTGCTGACCCAAGGCATGACCATCCATACCTGTGCCTCTTCTCGTACTTGTCTGGTTGATTTTAATGTCCTCTATTGATAGAGATGTCAATGGATGGTCTTTCCAATACTTTGAAAATTCAAAGTACTGTTTGGGTTTTTTTCTGCTTGTGGGTGTCTTGCCTTAACATCCTAGATACATAACACTTAAAGAAAATTTTGCGTATGTTTCCCCCTCAGCATCTCTTTAAAGCCTTCCCGTGTAGATCACATATTTTAGACCTTCTATCTGCCTTGCAGTTCAATTCTGGAGTTTCTAACTTGTGCTATTGCACTTTTCTTTTGCAGGCTTTGTGCCACAGAAAATGCGGTAAACGTATATTATGTACTACACTGTAGATAATGGCACAGAACTAGCCTTAAAGCTCCACTCAAATGCTTGTGTTTGTTTTGCTAATGGAAGGATTGATTGCTAATTCGCACGTACTTGTTGCAACCAGTTCTGTATTTTTCTAAAGCTCTGGCCAAGGACTGAAACAGTGTCTCCCTAACCTGGTGAAAACTTACTGGGTGAGGAGGACAAAAGACATCCTGAAGTTCACATAGTGGCTTAGGAAGAAAGGAAACCAATTGAACAGAGCTCCTTTTTATTAGTTTGCTTTCTTTTTTTTTTTTTTTTTTTTTTTTTTTAGGTGCTTGCAACTAGTCCTGTTTTTCCAACACCTGTTCCCAAAACCGAAGCTGCAGATAATTGATCAAAAATTATCTAGCTTCTTACTCTTGAGGACAACAGATGTAAATATTTGGGATACAATTGGTTCTTAATACTCTTACACATAGAACAGTATCTGGTGGTGTTCTTAAAGGAGTAGCTGTATCGTTCATAGAATGGTTTGGGTTGGAAGGGACCTTAAAGATCATCTAGGTCTGAGCCCCCCACCATGGCCACGGACACCTCCCACTAGACTAGGTTGCTCAAAGCCCCATGCAGCCTGGCCTTGAACACTTCCAGTGGTGGTTCTGCAAGGCAGACTCTGACATATTCCATCTGTTTTCCTTGAACATATCATCATTATTCTACTTTGTGAGACATTAAAACTGGACTGGGATTAATCTGGTTTTGCCAGGTGATAAATACTCTCTCCTTGTGTGCTACTAGATCTACAAAAGGAATCAAAGAAGCATCTTGTGAAATTAACAAAGGAAATTTTAATAATTACCTAGATCCCATGGTGTGATCATTGTGTCTTTTTGATGATTGAAAGCTGCACTGAAACATGAATCCATCTCATTGTCATCCTGCAGTACAAGTCAATAAAACTATGAAATTAGGGGTTTTAAAACTGCTTGATATGCTTTTTTTTTTTTTTTTTTTTTACTATGGCTTTATTTGCTAGGTGTAGATTCAGTATTAAACAGTAGGCTTGAGTATATGCCAGATGAAAAGACAGACTGCTTTTGCCTGGAATCTGAAGTGCTTGAACTTACAGTGAGACTGGGTAAATACCAGAACTTGCTGCAGGAGGCTGGAGACAGCATTTGTTCATAGGATTGATTTCCAACAGGCCATAAGTGTATTTTCCATCTTGCATTAGTGAAAAACTTGCACATAAAGTTGCTGTGGGGAATAGGAGAAATTGAGGATAGTAATTTGGTGAGAAACATTACAAATGTTTTGTTTAGTATCCTTATTTCAGAGATTAGTGTTCTTGTTCATCCTGGCATGTTGCAAGCTAATGGTTTTTGCTTTACAACTATAAACCTTTAGAACTGCTGAAGGAGAGCCTATGGAAGAAGTAATTCAAGAAATGACGTTAGATGAGTGGAAAAATCTTCAGCAACAGAATCGACCAAAGGCTGAATTCAACATCCGGAAGCCAGAATCCACTGTTCCCTCCAAAGCAGTGGTGATTCACAAGTCAAAATACAGGGATGATGTAAGCATTGCCTCAGGAATTCTGTGAACTCTGCTTTATGCCCAGACTTAGGAAACTGCCTCCATTCTTTTTCTACTAGTTTTAGTATAATCTGAACAGACTAGAAATCAGTGTCTAAGCTTTGTTACTGTAATCATATATGTGCCCCCAAACTTGCTTTAAACTTAACCGTCTGTTCTTTTTCTTCTCTTAGATCATCACCTCTATTTTGTATGCAAATACATAATATATCAAGTAGTTCTGCCTTATAGCAAAGTCTTGGCTTTATAAAACCTGTGTCCTTGCTGCTGCCACCTGTGTAGGTCTCTGGTAATGCTGCTACAGAAACTTGGTTTATTAAATGCTTCTTATCCTTACTTTGAATCCTATTTAGCCTACTTGCCAGTATATACTTGCATGTATATATTAAACTCGGGTCTTAGCATCTGCTAGTCTGCATGCTGAGTGTCCTGTTTCTCATCTGTGGTGGATCCCAGCTTGAAGTGTGATCCCAAGTGTGCTTGAAATATGTAAATATTTTTTTTTTTCCAGTTTTATGGTCCTGCTTCTTAGAATTAATTCTGGAGAGCTGGTTTTATAGTAACATGCTTTTTCTTCCCCCGTTTCTGTATCTTTTATTCCACGATACCACTGGGGCTGACATTTCAGGGAGAACTTCTAGTTTATTGATATAATTGGCGAGAGAAGGGAGGCTTCTTTCACAGATTCATGCCTGCTTATATTTCAGATTTTGGGTAGGCACAGAAGTATGTGAATATACTTATACTATAACGTAATGGATTTTTGATCACTAAGGTCTGCATACACATATGAATACACTTATTATCCTTTGTCTAGTTATACTATTAACATCAAAACTTCCAACTTAAGCCTTAATCACTTTAGGTCATTGAGCTCTTTCAGGGACAGGCACTAATACCAAAGTGGCCTTTTTCACATGGCTTTTGGTGGCAACAGTTGCCATTATCCTCTCTTCCTTCTCTGAGGGAGATGGTGGTAGGGGTAGGAAGAATATTTTCCACAAGCTTTGAAGAGAGTATGTAAGTGTGTGAATAGTGCATGGAAATTTCTGTTCTTTTACCTGTAAATTTTCTTGGCTGACAGTCTTGAAGGACCTTGTCAAAATGAAGATGGAATAGGAGGTACTGGAACTGTGTAACACAGACAAATCGAATCTCTGTAGTAGACACTGAATAAAATAAGTGTCTATATGGCACATAAGTCACTATATGGGATCAGTTTACATATATGTTATCATTACTACAGTGCACATTAAAATTATGGTGGGAAGTAATCTTACGTCCACGAGCTAACACAGAGTTAAAACAACAGTAATTTCATAGGTCATAGGTTTGTCTACGTTGGAAGGGATCATCTAGTCCAACCATCAACCTAACTCTGACAAAAACAAAAAAACCCATCACTAAACCATGTCTCTAAGCACTACGTCAACCTGTCTTTTGAACACCTCCAGGGATGGTGCCTCCACCACTTCCCTGGGCAGACCCTTACAATGCCTGATATCCCTTTCAGTGTTAAAATTTTTCCTAATATCCAATCTGAACCTCCCCTGGTGCAACTTGAGGAAATTTCCTCTTGTCCTATTGCCTCTGACTTGTGCAGTCAGGTGCAGACAAATAGTCTAATAGATTGGTTAGTAGCCAAATACTGTACTTTACTCTGGCCTTTTAACCATTACTTGAACATAATTAAGTAGTAGGAGTAAGTAGCTTAAGCCTGATTCTCTAGTCACTTAGAAAACCTTGTAGGTGCTATTTCTAAAAAACCTCTTTGGTGTTACAGATCTAATACAGAAGATCTTTGTTGCCAGGGTTCTCTGGTCTGACAAAGAATTATCCTAACCATCTGGGAAGCTACAATTACCTTGGAAAACCTTGTGCAAGTTAGGGCCAAATTCAGGCCATTATTCTGAATGTCATCTCGATTTATCTGCTTATTAGTCTGCAATATAAAAATGTGTCAGGGAGGGGAGAATGCTGTACGTGGAAGCTACAGGCTTTAACCAGATCTTTTTTTCAGTTGCAAAAAGAATTTGAAGATGATTCTCACGTCTTTCGAAGACCAGCGAATGATATAACATCTCAGCTGGATATTAATTTTGGGAGTCTTCCTCGCCCTGGTGGTGGATCAAGAGGAGCACAAGGCAGTCGTGGTCATAGCAAACGAGCTGAGGAAACAGGACCTCGACCAGAAGTAGTGGTAATGGGTTTTATGGTTTGGGGTTTTTTTGTCGTTTGCTGGGAGATTTTTTTCGGTTACTGGTATGTTTGTGTGTCCTGCCCCTTTTTGTGTGGAATTACTGATATCTGTAGTGACAGACTTTTTTCTGATGTCTGCCTCATAGTGTTGTTGGCCTGGTTGTTTTAAGTCCCTGATACATATCATTCTACTCAAAATTAAATACCAGCTCATGTTCATAACTCTTAACACATAAATTTCAAAAGGTCTTATTACTAGTAGCTGTAATGGTAACTAGAGAAAAGGATGCAATGAAGATTTGTTTCTGCAGTGAGTTTTGATACAAATTGGGAACTAATTAAAATAACTCAAGGCTTGTATCACTTACCAAAAAAAAAATTCAATATAATACAGTGATAGTACTTTGATTACTGAGAGTGAGATCATCAAACTGGGATCCTACAGATGACAGAATGAATTGCACAGCATTGTACAGAATGATACAAATGTTCAATATAACCATTAAAAAAAACTTCCTCTGCCTTTTTCTCTTAAAAAAAACCCAAACATTTGCACACTGAAAAATGACATCTTTATTTTTCATACTGACTAAAGGTCTCAGTTTATCTTTGTCTAGTGTAAGTAAAATACTTTAAGGTTGGGAACTTAGAGAATGAGATGGAAGTGATTTAATGCATTTGTTTTATCTGAATGAAAAAGGCTCTGTGTAATAACAGAATATAGAGTTTAAAACTATAATCCAATATGTGCAGTAGCCTTAAAATGGTTAAAAGATAATTCTAAAACCAGACAGTATTTTGGGTGAGATTGTTTTACTCTTCTTTTTTTTTTTTTTTTTTTTTTCCATCACTTTAGTGCAGCAGAACTTGCGATCTTCTGGTCCTCCCCAGGCAGTACATCAGCATTAAATATATATTCCCTGGATAAATACTGAAGAAACTATAGTAGTTATAACTTCTGAGATAAATGCTTTGCATTTCTGTCATAGTGATGGATACAAAGCATTTACCTTTAATAGAAGAATGTACCCTTTTCAGGGGTAAAATACATATACATAGCTGTCAGATGCTTTTGAAATACATTCAATTTTATAAAGCTTCCTTTCTTACTTTATAGGTGCAGCTTGTTGCTCCAGATCCTGATGATCCTGAGGATTTTCCAGCTTTAGCTTGAGGAACTGTCATGAATGGTGATACCTCAAACTGGCTTTGGCGTAGCTGTGAAGAGACCAGTTTTATGCTGGTGTGGATAAAGAAAGTCTGTTTCTACTGGAAAAGCTGTTTGGGTGTTTGGTGGGGGATGGTAGCAGCCATCTGCTAATGGAGTTGGGTTCTGGAGATACCAGTGGTCCTGGATCCTGTCAGAGGTCCTGGTGTCTGCCTCCTTTTGTGAAAAGTGAGTGAGAGCTTAGAGTATTTCATTACAAAGATTCAGATGAAGTTCAACAGTCCAGTGTTTAAAAATATGTATATAGAGATTATGTCAAGTTATCCTCGACACCATGGTGAAAAGTAAACTGTCCAACATGATCTGCAGTTGGGACCCTGTTTCACTGCATATTTGAATGCTCCTTTGAGTGAAGTGTGTATTTTACACAGTCACAAGTTACAGTTCTTTATAGAGTTTGACAAGTAAAGGAAAGTGCTCATTGATTTGGGTGTGAGGTATTATTGGCACAAATCAGAGTAGCACATTGAAGCTTTTGCTTTTTGGATGTAGTGTGGAAAGAGAAACAAAATCCAAATGTAAACAGTATGATTTACTCACACAAAACAGTGAACATCTTTCTAAACTAAGTGATCTTTAGAGCAGCACAGACACTTATAATTGATAGCTAACAGTAAGTCTTGCTTCAGTAACATGATATAATCTGCAACTACTTTGAAGATGTTGAAGGTGAAATCATATAATCATAGAATTGCCCAGGCCGGAAGGGACCTCCAAAGGTCATCTAGTCCGACCTCCCCGCAGTCAGCAGGGACACCCCCAACTAGACCAGGTTGCCCAGGGCCTCATCGAGCCTCACCTTGAATATCTCCAGGGAAGGGGCTTCAACTACCTCCCTGGGCAACCTGTTCCAGTGCTCCACCACCCTCACAGTAAAGAACCCTCTCCTAATCTCCAATCTAAATCTGTTCCCCTCCAGCTTGAAGCCATGGTCCTTCCTGTTTTCCCCAACTTTGTCCTAAGGGCTGCAGGCAGCCGACAAAAATTAGTATCCATCCACTTCTGACTTAACCAAGGCTGGGAATCAACCCTGCGTGCATCGGCCCCACACACGGATGGGTTCCTTGCACTGTCCTTGGCTCCCTCCTTTAAGTAACTTACGCAAGTAGGATATAATCCTCCTAGGAAAACTACGGACTCTTTTATATATGCTCCAAACAGGTGGTCTGCAAAGTACTGCTACCCAAAGGACATTTCTTACATTGTTAAATGACTCATATGACGATTCGTATGAGTTTGGAATGCCACAAGGAGCTCATTTTAGTGACTCTGACAACCTGTTGTAGAAAGAATGTACAAAAGCCAATAAAGTGTTGGTGTTAGAGGAACATGTGCTGCTGCTTCTTTTTGAGTAATTCAACTGGATGAAATCACATAAATGACTTTCACCTTTTAGGAGCAAGCTACTATTTGAAATCATTGCTAGTACTCTTTCAATAGGTGTTAGGGTGTTTCGGCCAAAAATGGCAATTTCATGATTATAGAACAGAAGTGACTTTTTTCTATGTGGGTCTTAGAATTTTTTCACTTCTTCTTCCCTTCCTGTCCCATCAGACAGGGAAGAACGTGCCTGAAATTTTATTTATGGTTTTGCTTGCAGGGATGAGCGTATGTATTGGTGTGGAAAGCTGCTTTGCAAGTCACAAGGTCTATTTTCTATCACGTTTTGGAGATATAGCCTCTTCTTTAACTGGCACCTGGTTTTGCTAAAGAAAGCAGTGAAATACTTAAAGGACACCCTTCCTTTGCTTACTAGAAATTTGATACCTTGTTATGCCAGTGGGCGGAATGTGGTGTAAGGCAGTTGGTTCAGTTCTGGCTGTTCTCTGGGGAGGCTGAAAGGGTTGGTTTTGTTTTTCAGTCTGGTTCCTGATGCTGCAAAGTTACTGTTTGCTCCTCTGGCTTTTGTTTGTTTTTCAAAACAAACAGGTTCTTTGGGGAATATTTTAAAGGACATGTCAAAGTGTATCTGTATAATGAGCATTTGGTCAGCAGCTTGTTTAAAAACTCCTGGTTAAAAAAAAACAACCAAGTGGGCTGGTTTTAAGACTATTTAATGAAAAAAACCCAGTGCAATCACACAAAACAAACAAACAAAAAAAAACCCAAAGCAAACACACATACACCCCCCAACCAAACAAAAACCACAACCTGTCCAACACAAAACTCTGTGAGAATAAGTTTTAGTATGGTTGGTTACTGCTCATCAAATCAAAAGTGTCTTAGAGCAGCTAGGTGTGACAATTTTCTTTTACAGTTTGTCAGACTTGAATATGGCTTCAGGGTTTCTCTAGTTGATAGTATATAAGTATAGAGAAGAAATTGCTAATTTTAAGTGGTGACAGTGATCAGATTCCTTTGCCTAGCTGTGAAAAGAGAACTAAATCTCAGTTATCATATTTAACGTACCAACATAACTGTATCTGTTAAGCACATGTGTACTGCTAACAGTCATTCCTGGTTTAGCTGTACTGAGAGCTTTACTCCTTCATGCAAAGCAGATGGTAGTATATGTACACAAATAGTAGTAAAACATGGCACACATCAAGGAAGAGATTAAACTCTGTTGTAGATCTTGGTCATGTTACTCTGTAATGCACTACTACAAAGTACTTTGCTGTTTGGATTACTGTAGTGAGTGGCCTAGGAAAAACTACTACATTTCAGCTTTGATTTTTATATAGAGTAAATCACAGTAAGTTTGCAGAGAAAGGAATTCATCTGTCTCCACAACTGTCATTTGTATATGATAGTGTTGAATTGAATTTTTGTCATAAGATGGTATAGGATTGTAAGAGTATATTCCTATGAAAGTGACTTTAAATGAAAGAGGAGAGGAATGTCTGTGCTTAACTTAAGAATGCTGAAGAATAACTAAAGAGGCTTAGAAGTAAAAAGCCCTGGAAAAAAACTTCAGTTAATAAGTAGGAATATTAGGCAATTGAGCCCCTGGGGGATGAGCTTTCAACTCTGGTTACGCTTGTTGGTGTGAAAACAGGGCTGGGGGGCAAGTACATAGAATCAGAGAATAGTTTGGGTTCAAAGGGGCCTTTAAAGGTCATCTAGTCCGACCTCCCCTGCAATGGGCAGGGACATCTTCAACTAGATCAGGTTGCTCAGAGCCCCATCCAACATGACCTTGAATGTTTCCAGGGATAGGTCTCTGGGCAACCTGTTCCAGTGTTTCACCACCCTCATTATAAAAAATGTCTTCTTTACATCTAGTCTAAATCTATCCTCTTCTAGTTACCATTACCTCTTTTAGTTTAGAACCATTACCTGTTGCACCACACCCTGCTAAAAAAGTCTGTCTCCCTCTTTCCTGTAAGCCCCCTTTAAGTACAGAAGGACCACAAGGTCTCCTTGCAGCCTTCTCCAGGCTGAACAACCTCAACTCTCTCAGCCTGTCCTCATCCCCATTCCATCCCTCTGACCATTTTTGCGGCCCTCCTCTGGACTTTCTCCAACAGGCCCATGTCTTTCCTGTGCTGAGGGCTCCAGAGCTGGACACTGCTCCAGGTGGGGTCTCACTCTAGAGCAGAGTAAAGAGCAGAATCGCCCACCTTGGCCTGCTGGCTACACTTGTTTTTGATACAGGCCAGGAAATGGCTGGCTTTCCGGGCCAGTCTGCAAGAACGGATTGCTGGTTCCTGTCCAGGTTTTCATCCACAAGTGCACCCAAGTCTTCTCTGTAGGGGTGCTCCAAATCCCTTCATTGTGCAGCCTGTATTGGTGTTGGAAGTTGCCCTGACCCTGGTGCAAGACCCTGCATTTGGCCTTGTTGAACCTCATGAAGGTTCTTGAGCTTGTCCAGGCCCCTCTGGATGGCATCTTGTCCCTCAGGCATGCACACTGCACCACTCAGCTTGGTGTTGTCAGCAAAGTTGCTGAGGGTGCACTCCATCCCACTGTCTGTGTCACTGATGAAGGTATTAGGGCCACGAAGGCGATGAGAGGGCTGGAGCAGCTCTCCTGTGAAGACAGGCTGAAAGAGCTGGGGTTGTTCAGTCTGGAGAAGAGAAGGCTCCTGGGAGACCTCACAGCAGCCTTCCAATACCTAAAGGGAGCCTACAGGAGAGATGGGGAGGGACTCTTTGTCAGGAAGTGTAGTGACAGGAAAAGGGGTAATGGTTTTAAATTGGAAGAGGGGAGATTTAGATTAGATACTGGAAAGAAATTCTTTCCTGTGAGGGTGGTGAGGCACTGGAACAGGTTGCCCAGAGAAGCTCTGGATGCCCCTTCCCTGGAAGTGTTCAAGGCCAGGCTGGATGGGGCTTTGAGCAACCTGCTCTGGTGGGAGGTGTCCCTGCCCATGGCAGGGGGGTTGGAACTAGATGATCTTTAAGGTCCCTTCCAACCATTCTGTGTAGTGTAACCATTCTGTGATTCTATGATTGAACAGTGCTGGTTTCAATACGGATCCCTGAGGGACAACATTCATCAACGATTTCCATCTGGATATTGAGCTGTTGACCACTACCCTCTGGACCCAACCATCCAACCAATTTTTCATCCACTGAACAGTCCACCCATCAAATCTGTATCTCTCCAACTTAGAGAGATGTGAGGGACCATTTTGAAGGCCTTAGAAAAATCCAGATAGATGACATTCCTTGTCCACTGATGTAGTTACTCCATCATAAAAGGCCATGAGGTTGGTCAGGCAGGGCTTGCCCTTGGTGAAGCCATGCTGGCTGTCTCAAATCACCCCCTTGTCCTCCATGTGCCTTAGCATAGCTTCTACGAGGATCCATTCCATGATGTTGCCAGACATGGAGGGGCTGACAGGTTGGTAGTGCCCAGGGTCCTCCTTTCTACTGTTTTTAAAAATGTGTGCAATGTTTCCCTTTTTCCAGTCACCAGGAACTTCACCTGACTGCCTTCTCTAATATCATGGAGAGGATCTTGGCAACTACAGCAGCCAATTTGCTTGGGACTCTGGGACGCATCTCATCAAGTCCCATAGACTTCTGTGTGTTCAGGTTCCTGAGGTGGTCACAAACCTGGTCTTCTTACAGTGGGAGGGACTTCGCTCCCCAGTCCCTGTCTAGCTGTCCATCCACTGGAGCAGTGTGGGGAGAGAGGTTGCCAGTGAAGACTGAGGCAAACAAGTTGTTGAGAACCTCAGCCTTCTCCTTGTCTGTTGTTACCAGTTTGCCAGTCTTGCTCATTAGAGGAGGGTACACTTTCTTTGACCTTCCTTTTCTGGCTGACATACCTGTAGAGGCCCTTCTTGCTATTTGCATCCCTTGCCAACCTCAGCTGCAGCTGTGCCTTGGCCTTCCTGACCCCATCCCTACACAAGTGGGCAGTGTCCCTGGACTCTTAACAGGATGCCTGTCCCTGCTGCCAACCTGTCCCTGCTTCAAATGCCTGTGCATTTCCTTCTTGCCCTTTATTTTGACCAGCAGGTCTCAACTCAGCCGTGCTGGTCTCTTGCCTTCCCTTCCTGATTTCTTACACCTGGGGATCAAGAGCTCTTGCACCATGTGGAAAGTATCCTTACATATCTGCCAGCTCTGTTCTGCTCCCTTGTCCCTGAGGGCAGCTTCCCAGGGGATCTTATTGACTAACTCCATGAAGAGCTGGAAGTTTGCTTTCCTAAAATTCAGGGTCCTGAAAAAAAAAAGGTGGTTTCCTGTAATTCAGAGATCTGAAAAAAAAAAAAAAGATTTGTATCCCTGGTAGATCTCTGTCATTGAGATTATTCTAACACAATGTTCCAGCCTTCTCCTTGTCTGTTGTTACCAGTTTGCCAGTCTTGCTCATTAGAGGAGGGTACACTTTCTTTGACCTTCCTTTTCTGGCTGACATACCTGTAGAGGCCCTTCTTGCTATTTGCATCCCTTGCCAACCTCAGCTGCAGCTGTGCCTTGGCCTTCCTGACCCCATCCCTACACAAGTGGGCAGTGTCCCTGGACTCTTAACAGGATGCCTGTCCCTGCTGCCAACCTGTCCCTGCTTCAAATGCCTGTGCATTTCCTTCTTGCCCTTTATTTTGACCAGCAGGTCTCAACTCAGCCGTGCTGGTCTCTTGCCTTCCCTTCCTGATTTCTTACACCTGGGGATCAAGAGCTCTTGCACCATGTGGAAAGTATCCTTACATATCTGCCAGCTCTGTTCTGCTCCCTTGTCCCTGAGGGCAGCTTCCCAGGGGATCTTATTGACTAACTCCATGAAGAGCTGGAAGTTTGCTTTCCTAAAATTCAGGGTCCTGAAAAAAAAAAGGTGGTTTCCTGTAATTCAGAGATCTGAAAAAAAAAAAAAAGTATTTGTATCCCTGGTAGATCTCTGTCATTGAGATTATTCTAACACAATGTTCAAGCCATTTTTTTTGCCTTCAGGGCTGTTGCAGGCACATGCATATACACCCACATCCACATAAAAGTATATATATATATATATACACATATATATATGTAGTGTTGAAAGTAATGTAACACTGACTTACTGTCACTGGATCAACAATTGAATGTGAAACACGGTTATCTTTGCAGAAAAAGTACATTTCAGTCATTGAGTAACTGGCATGGAATTAAGAGCTTTTCTCTTTAACACGTGCTGGGCAACTACTGAACAGTTTGGGCAGGAAAAGCCTTCAGTCTTTCGAAGAAGTAACGCTTTGTCTGTATTAGAATTGAATGTGAAATATGTTAAGTCATCAGCTGGGTTTTATTCGTGTGCAAACAGGCCATTTTGAAGATGTGATGCAGCAAATGTTGCAGATAGCTGTGTCTTCAGAGCAGCTTTAGATACTGCACCACATTCAATGGCAGCGTTATGTTTGAGATGAATGACTTAATGAGACAACGAATTGAATAAAGTTCTTGCTCGTAGCCAGTGTGAATATCCATATTCTGTTTTCTGTTGTCTCTACAGTGTTTTACAGCTAGTTAACAGGACTCAGTAAGCTGCTGTCTACTTTTAGCAATGGCAGTTCCTCTGTCTGGGTTTGTAGACTAGTTACTCTTTGAATGAAAGATACCGTTTTGCGTAATGTAATTGAATTGGCAGGATAGCTTTGCAAAAAGGTAAAAATGGCAACAAGATACAGATTTATTCTCTTCTGGCAAAGAGAAAAACTAAGTTGATGCTCTGCAATCCAGGAATTCTGTGCTTGGTAGTGGTTTGGTTATATTTCTGTTACTTATGGATCGAATGCTCAGAGATTTTCCTGGCGTCAGCAAAGGCTCTGAACCTTGGAAGCTACCATGGGAAAAGTGAAAACTAGTAACCTTTTCAATGAAGCTTCCACTGAAGTGAGAGAGGACCATAGGCTGGAAAAGGTCTGGTCGTGGGAGGAAGGGAAGGAACCCTTCAAATAAGGGGGAGGAAAACCCAATAAACCAACATTACATAATACTTCGCTCAGAAACAGAGATGATGTTGGTGTGGAAGAACTGGACAAAAAGCTCCTAGAAGCAGGACACCAGGACAAATGTCACCCATGTGAGTACTGAGCAGAGATTCAGTCCTAGAAGCATGACGTCTTGGGAGGAACATTTTTGAACAGAAGTATTTGAGTTGATCAATATTTTTTGCTGTTGTGTTTGGATTTTTTTTTTTAAAGACTAAACTAGACCACCATCAGCTCTTATGCAAAAATAAGTGTTCCTGAAAATGCTTTTGAGAAACTTTCACTTTCATGGTGTCAAAATGTATCATATTTAACATGATGCCCGTTTCCAAAAATGAGTACTGTATAATCATAGAGGAAAGAAACAAATTAACCATAACCCTACCTGTGTTTTTTACTCAGTAACAGTATCCCAACAATTCAAATACAACTACTGTTGTTTTCCAAAGTGAGTCCCCTGAAATATAGAGCCAGAAGCTCCCTATTTTTGAAATTTGAAAAGTATGTGTTTTCAGGATCTGTGCTTAATTAAAGGTTTTCAGGCAGCTGAGATTCTTGCATTATTTTTCAGAGCACATATGGGTCAGTGTGGTACAGATATTATGGTTTTGTGCTGAATTTTTTAAGAAAGCTGGAAATAAAAGTGAGAAAACAAACATCTGATTATTAATTTAATTTTGCACAATTCATGTTTACATTTATTACTATTCAATATTTTGTATAAAATCAAATACAATATGCAGTATTTTTAAATGAGACACAAATGCTTATTGAACTACATAGTATTACAAGGTATTATGAAGCTTTATCTTAAAAATACCTTCAGCAAAATAAACTCCCATTCTGTCAATCGAGGTTAAAAAAATATGATTAGAAATATACAATTTAAAAGTAATTAGGATGAACAGTACCGATTAGTCAAGAAATTTTAGATCTTGATAGTCTGTACATGAATTTATGCAGGACAAACAGTCTGCAAACCATGAATATAAAAACTGCAGTGCAACAAACTGGTGAAATCACATTTTTCTTTTTTTTTTTCATTTTAATGCATGAGTTTCTACAATTTTTTTATTTTTTTATTTTTTTTAAATCAGCAGCACTTCCTCTATTGTCATGTTCGGGCAAAAAGGTGAGGTCTGGGTTAACATTTGAGTTATTGATGCTGTAATGGAAGCATTTAGAACCATAGAATGGTCAGAGTTGGAAGGGACCTCAAAGATCATTGAGTTCCAACCCCCCTGCCATGGGCAGGGACACCTCCCACTAGACCAGGTTGCTCAAGGCCACATCCAGCCTGGCCTTGAACACTGCCAGGGATGGGGCATCCACAACTTCCCTGGGCAACCTGTTCCAGAGTCTCACCACCCTCACAGGAAAGAATTTCTTCCTAATACCTAAATCTCCCCTTGTTCAGTTTAAAACCGTTACCTCTCATCCTATTGCTCCACTCCCTGACAAAGAGTCCCTCCCCATCTCTCCTGTAGGCACCCTTCAGGTACTGGAAGGCTGCTGTGAGGTCTCCCTGGAACCTTCTCTTCTCCAGGCTGAACAACCCCAACTCTCTCAGCCTGTCTTTACAGGAGAGGTGCTCCAACCCTCTGACCATTTTTGTGGCCCTCCTCTGGACCAGTTCCAATAGGTCCATGTCCTTCCTGTGTTGAGGACTCCAGAGCTGGACACAGTACTCCAGGTGGGGTCTCATGAGAGCAGAGCAGAGGTGTAGAATCACCTCCCTTGACCTGCTGGCCACAATTCTTTTGATGCAGCCCAGGATGCGGTTGGCTTTCTGGGCTGCCAGCACACACTGCCAGCTCATGATGAGGTTCTCATCCACAAGCACTCCCAAGTCCTTCTCCTCAGGGCTGCTCTCAATCCATTCTCTGCCCAACCTGTATTTGTGCCTGGGATTGCCCAAATTGGGATTTGACCCAAGGTACTACAGCTTTTGAGTATACTGCATACTTTTGAATAAGAGATCAAGGGAGAATGCATCTGTCATGCATTTTAAAGAAGGGAAAGTATTTCTAAGGAAAAACTCCCAACTGACGACAGCAGAAATAACTGCTGCTGTCACAGCTCCCCAGCTGCTCTGTGGAACAATGGTGATGCAGCTGACACCACGTGTTCCATTTTGGCACTTAATACTTCACAGTTCAAAAAAGATTGAGAAACCATCCCTCCCCATGCCTACTCTTCATTCTTGTACTTAAGACAGCTTTGGTATGGCATAATAAAAAAGCTAGACAAAGTACCAAAAATTCAGAACAAACTAAGCAATACAATTAGATGGGACACAATGAGGTAATGAGGTAATTTTCCATGTAAGGCCGTTTGGAGAGTTCAATGACATCTATGTGTTTCTCACTAAGATAATAAGGTAGTGGAAGGGGTATCCTGAAACACATTGATGCCAAACATGCAGTTTTGGTTTAGCTAGAGTTGCTATTGTGTGTTTATGCATTTTTTTTTATGCAAATTTACTTCAGATGAACATGAAAGTGCTAATGGCTCTGCTGGTTACTGTAAAAGGGAAAATTCCAATTTGGAATTTGGAAGGAGTGTAAAATAGACTGATCATTTTTCGTTTAAAAACAAAGACTAAAAGAGGAAGCTCAGCTGAGAGAAGAATATTACTACTTCTTTCTTGCTTTGACTCTTATCCTCTCACTTTGATATCTATCATCAAATTTAAAATTAACCACGGCTCTGTAGTTAATTAAGCTTTTAGGTACTGACTTTATAGTTAGGGATGATTGTAGATAGTTGCTAAGGAGTGGGTCAAAGTGAATTGCTTGAAGGAACATCTGTAGCCTAATTATTTGGTCTTCCTGGGACATGTAAGACCTTAAATGGACGTGTAATCAAGATGTTTCTACAAACAATGGCAATTTGGCAGTGAAAACCCAAGTCCAGGCATTCTTAACTGAACTGTCTTCATTATAATACTAAAACACACACAGAGATGTCTAAAAGATCCATGTGAAAACCCTTCCTCCATGCAGGCACAGTGACTGAAGAGAGTGACACAGCAGATACTATAATTGTATATAAATTACTAAGCAATCCTTGTAACTGGGCATGTACTACCTTTCACTTTTGTTTAGAAATATATCAAGGAAACCAGCATGGGGTATGCTTGATTTGTGGAAATCCACCAAGCACCCAGGCCTGAATAAAAAGCAGTAACTTTCCTGTGTGTCAGAACTGGTTCATTGCACACCAGGCAACAAATGTGCTTTTTGGACAACAACCTCACCAGTTGCATCCCTTCTGCTTTCCAAGATAAGAATTTTCTTCCAAAATAAACACAGATTCATAGTTGCACAATAGAACTACTATTGTGGTTACCTGTAGTTCAGCTTTTGGGCAAGTGGCTTAAACAAAAAACAAAACCAAGAGAAGACAGGAAATTTTAACCACTGTATCAGGGTGAATTCTGTCCCTCTCTTTTAGGTGCTTTTTCACCTAGAAGAAAATGGTCGTGAGGGCGAAGGTTAAGAGGAAAACAAAAAGTATTTGGGGTCTGAGCCTCAACAGTCCTTTATTTTGCACCACACAAGCCTCTGCTATTTTCTTTGTATTCATATTTGCAAATTTTGACAATCCAAACTCATGGATGCTAACTGTAAGCTTACACTTCACATCCCACTTCCCATCTGAATCATGATGCTCTTGCCAGAAAATGTTTTCAGGCCAATGTGTGGTTATCCATACTGGCATTCAAAAATCACCAGCCTAACAGAAAGCTCAATTTGAATTTAAAAGGATGTAGACTGAAACAAGTCACTGAACCTGCCCGTTTACATTCATAAAAAGGAACTTCTCCCCTCCTTTCAGAAGTAATGTGCATCTTTAAAAACTTCAGTCATTCCATTGCTAACATTTCAGATCTCTCAATTTCTTCTACTTTCTACTGTAAGAGTCACTAAATCAACAGACAGCTATCATATTTAAGGCTATGTGGTAACAGTCCTCATCTGAAAGATATGCAGCTATAAACTTCAGTTGGCAGAGAAGGGTACATCACTGCAAAGTCAGCTTTGAGATCTCATAATGTGAAAAGTGGTGGGGAAAAAATGCTTGTAGTAGATGAAAATTTCAGTCTCAGACAGATTCCTCTAAAAATTACCCTGCTTTTTAACAGAGGTAAGCTGTATAAAAGCTATACCTACCCTTGAGTTCCACTACTAATCTCAGTGAACAGCAACCTTATTTTCCCTTTTTTGTGTGTTGCACTCATTAAGTGTCTCAAAGCTAAAAATCAGTGACACCCACATGTTAAGTGTACTGATAAAACCTGGGAAAAATTCCAGTCTTTTAGATACATTGATCTAAAGTTTCACCTAGAAGACTTGAAGATAAGAGAAGAAACAGTAATGATATTTCAATATGACAGCACTGCTTTAAATGGTACGCTGTTTTTCCTCCCCTTTAAAATCATACCAGGTTTAAAGCAATTACAACTAGTTAAAAGAGCCACCGGCTGTGAACAACTGAAAATCTGTTACTATTAAAACCAAGTTAATTATGTATAGTTAGCTTTTTCAAACTAATCAAACCACACAACCTTTGAAAATAAAGCACTCTTTGGTGGACAATATTTACTTCGTGTACTCAATACTGCAGCTTCATAAAAAACTTCATACAAAATAATAAAGAATAGCCAGTTAACACAGGAGAGTACCAATACTATAGGAAATATGCTTTTGTGTTTGATTTTCAGTCTCAAGTGGGGACTTGAGACCAGTCTGAATGAACAACACAGATTTATATACTTAAAAGCTCCCACCATCTTTTAATTTCTGGTGGTCAGCAGCTAAGTGATTGCCATCACAATTTATACACATGCATCATACATACTAGCAAACCCTCTTTATAATAGAGAGCGTAAGTATTTACACCTGAGTCTAAATCTACACAGATTTTGTTGGTTTTGTCTGGGGAAGTGATAGTACATTAGAAAAATGTCTACCAAGTATGTTGACATTCATTTTATTCTACAAGTATGGAAGAGATTCTTCTGTTTCACTTTTTTCTGAAAAATGGAGCCATAGTAATCTTCCTTGAATAGCATCAAGTCCTCTCTAGAGATCATATCCCCTTCATTCCTGAATATCCTCTTCAATGTTGGTTGCTTATTTGAAATTTAACACAGTACTTTTCTAGTCCTTGAGATGGACTGGCTGCTGAAATAAAACATATTTGAGGAAGAAAGTTAAATATGTACTCAATGTATGTAAAGCAAACATTTCTGGCAAGGTAAAATGAGCAAACAATACTTCAAAGAAAGAAACAGAAGATAAAAGTCACTGCATTTAAGAACATAGCAATATTGGTTGTAAAAAAAGCATAGGCTGGTCTGATTACAGACAGTATGAAGAAAGGAGGTGTTCCATATAGAAAAGTAACAGAGGATTGAAAGTACCATAATTTCATTAAGCGTATTTGCTGTAAGGTGTTCCTTTTCTTTCTCTCCCTCTGAGATACCAGACTGTAGGAAAAGTAGAAAGAATAGCAAAGAAACACTATTTTTTTTTAAAGCTAGATTTAGATCACGTATAGAGAAGCTCCAAAATGCTGCAGGTAGTTATCAGTGTTTGAACCACTGTGTGTAGAAGGCTGCTTTACAATTCCCAGCAAAGCAAAAGCAGATAAATTTTTGAAACATATTCCTCTTTGTTAGTTTTTGTGATATACCTCTCTGTTTAAAAGCAGTAAAGGAATCTATACAATACAGTTTTCATATATTTCTCCACATACTCCCAACTATTATTTTTTAATAACTTGACCTGCATTCCCTTGAGCACCTCGACCTACCAAAATTCTTTCACCACTCAGGATTTAATCTCGAATAAGTTACTTACTATATACATAACCCAAATTCTGTGATGTGTGGTAACACGGAAAAGACTGTTTCATTTGAGTCTTACCATAATTCAATATGTATGCATATGTGTATGCACCTTGTTAAAATAATACGAAGAGGAACTTCTCGGTAACTGGTAAATTTGCAAGGACATCTTAGGTGTAGAAACGAAGGCATCCACAGAAAAAGACTGTGGATAATGTGAATAACAGTGAATGTTATAAACAGGATTGAAATTCCCTAAATTCTCTTTGCAAAGCCAGAATAGAGCATTTTAGCTGTAAGTGGCTGTTTTGACTGAAAAATCATTCTGGGGGCATTCCATGATAGTATGCCCATGAGTCTGGAGGACAAAATGGCAAATGAATTACCCAGCTCTGCAGATTATATTGTGTTAGGATGGCCACAAATTTGATACATCTACAGTAACAATTGACTAAAACAACATAAGGCATCAACAAATAAGATTAATGTAACAATACTGCGAGATGTATCTGTTGGAACAGAAGACAGAAATGACAAGAAAACAAAAGAATAAGGGTACACAGTAACACTGGAAGTTCAAAGAAGGCAACAAGGTGTTGGCAAACACAGATGTTGGTTAGGGCATGATCCCAATTTTGTAATAATAACTATTCTCCTCTACTCTGCAATCCACCTGATCTTGAACAGGTGAATCAATTTGAGCACTATGAGGTAATGCAAACTGCACAGACTTCAAGAAATTAAATACACTCAAAAGAGATGAAGAAAAAAAAATGGGATGCTCAAAAAATAAATGAGTGAGGTTTTGCCAAATGCTACAGAAAAAATAAAAGGACACCTACAAGATTAACAACAAAGTACTGCATTTTAATTACATGAAGTTGCACAGACAGACTGAAGTAACTCTCTAGAGGGATCAGCACCCAATTAGCCTCTCAGATGACAAGGTATTTAAGAACTCCAGAACTGCAACATAACTATTTAGGACAAATTTGATTATTGGATACAAGGACAAAGTCACTGAAATTCTTTGACCTCAAAACTAATTAGAAAAGAACCTGTATGTGGAATGAAATATTTGGGGTAGAAGTTTTAGAAAATCCATTAAAATATCAAGTACTTTATGAAGTTTGAGATAAATCTGCTCTTTGGTCCACACAGTCATCGATCTAGCAATACACCTAAAGGACTTCTTTCAAAATAACTGAAATCTTCTATGAACTCTATTTTAGGGATGTTGAGTCCTACCTAAGGATACATATTATCATCTCACACAACACAAAGGTCAACTTGGGTTTGTGTTTTCCAGAAACTGAAAATCTCTGTTCAATTATGCATGTGCATGTATACAGCTACCAAGAGTTTCAAGGAGCTTAAAACTGGGAGAGGTGATAAGAATAAAAACAGCAGGCAGAATTCTACCAATCTGTTTAGACCTAAACTGATATGGTGAAAAAGACGCAAAATGGAGAAAAAACCCAACCAACCAAACACCAAACCTTGAGAAATACTTCAGATGTTTAGTAAAATCTGCATTCCGTGAAAAAGAGATTATATTTTAACATACTGTTATATGAATCAAAACATATAGCCATAGCTAAAAATTCTCTGACTAGAATTTACTGCAGTCTACTATTAATGACTATTTCTGTTGCCTGATAGAGTGAATTTTTTGTATTTCTGTTACCTTCAAGGGGGAAGAAAAGCTCTGTGGGGGAAAAAGCTGCACAAGAACATGGAATTTTCAGCAATATTTATAAATCAAACTATATAACTACTAATGTTATCTGCCACCTTTTACTCTCCTCAACAAAAGTAAGTCTCTTCAGCACCTGACAGACCCATTCAAAAGGTTTTCACTATAAGCATAAGACAAATTCTGGTCAATTTTAAGCACTGGGAATTGCTTGGAAATTATATTAAGCTACATTCCCAGGCTCATCTTTGATAATGACCTGGAGAGCTGCCATAGCTGCACACACAAAGAAATACACTAGTAGTGTGGCCGTGTGCTTCTGGGCCAAAAGGCAATTTCAGTCTTATATAAATTCATTTGAATTTAAAATTTCATTAAGCTTTACTGAACGCGTTGAGTTCGGATTATCAGTTGTGCTCTCAGCACAAAATCTCATAACAGCACACACATGCATTTTATCCACTTCACCTTTCCACTACTACTACATTTTAGTTATCCATCAAATTTCTCTTATTTTTGACTTCATGTACCGACTAATAATTGACTTAAAACTGTGACCAAGTTTTCCATCTCTTACTCCAAGTAGAGATTTGGTAAAGAAAGGCACTTTTTTGTTACCAAAATCCCTCACTTTCAGTAATTCTGACTCACATTAGGAATTACAATATAAAATTCTCAAACTTGAAAGACTAAGCGACATGAACAAATGACTTAAGATTTAAGGTTCCACATATTCTCAGTACGTGACATAAACCATAAAATTGTTTCTCATTTCCCATTCTTGGAGGAGAAGTTGAACTGTGGCAAAAGCTCCTGTAAGCAATGGATATGTCAGCTCAACGTATATGCCTAGAGAACAGTTACTGGATCTGTAAAGAGGGTAACTCTCACCTTTTTAAACTGTTTTTTCTTGCAGCAGACCTGGTAGTTCTTTTAGTAATGTCTGTACTGTCAGAAATGCTAGGTTCAGAGGTTTTATTTTTCTGAACACTGGACTGCAGAATTACTCTGAAAAGAGCAGGAAAAAAGAAAGATTATATAACCTGAAAGTTTCTAGGAGAACTGAAAAGAGGTTGCAGCAGATAAGTATCAGCTGGCTTTTCACAACTCATTCTGAAAAGCAGATTGTTCTGCCTGAAACACATCCTTCTCTCTGTAACATTCTTGTTTTAATTATGGTAATGCAAGTTGTTTTATTAGGGGCATAGTAATTTGGTTTGTTGTTTGGTTTTTGTTTCTTTGCTCTCAGTGAATGGATTAAATTAATGGCTTTGAATTTCCTGCCAGGTTTTTGGAAGATGAAAAGCTAAGAAATTGTATTTTAAATTACTGTTACAAAACAAAACAAAAAGATAAAATCTGAGGTATGCAACAAAAACATACATTATTTTCCAGACTGACACAGAAAGAAATTCAGAAACAAGCCCAACTAATTAAATTTGTGAGGGTCAAAGTCTAAATCACCTGCAATTAACTGTGAAATATTCTCTTCAAATACAGTGAGAAACTCATTGCATATGTTGGCATTTTCTGCTTATGGGGAATTACCACACCACAGTCAAAACTCAGCTTTACATGCTGGTTGTGCTTGATCACTTCTCTGGAAGACTCTAGAGCAATATATTGATTATCTCCTAAATGGGTAGATAAATCCTAGTGTTGCTTACATCAATAACAATAGAATTCCAGATTGTGAAATGCAAACTATTTTTAGCCATCAGCCAACTGGTTCTTTGGGAGACCATAGCTTCTGTATTCCTAAGTACCTGTAGTGAAATCATGATACTATGCAGACAAAAAGCGACAGCTGGTCAATGGAGTCCACAGATATCTATTTAGTGCATCATTTTCCATGTCTGTTCCCTAGTCACTGCATCTGTGCAAGTTTCCAACTATAAAACTATGCCTCATTTTAGATATTCAGAGCTAAGAATAAATTACTGTTTTCCTCCCCCTTTGACTGGAAATCAAAACCTTCATTACGTTGTATAAACTGCAGTCTGGTTGATTAATACTCTGAAGAAATTGTTTTCGAGGAATCCTAGACATGAACATGAAATGTAACTTTTGGAGCAAAAATGGACAGAAAAACATGAGAAAATATAAGTATTTTCATACTCACATAACATATTCACCAAAAACAGAAATAGAAAAAAATTCTATGATTTCACTGTTTTATATGGGTTTGATAACAGAACTAGGATGTGCTTTGGCGATAACACAATTTCATCTAAAATAAATTCTGTGCAGCAGTAAATCTGATCAGCAGCCTTATTTACCACATACTTCTAGATTGTTTAGCAAACAGAAGACTACAGAAGCACAAAGTTCAAGTATTTTAAATTTCTAATTGAACAAATCTCTCTGAATATTTCAGACTTGCAAATTCTCATAATTTAATTTGCAAAAGTCTAAGTCAAACAGTCTTCTCTTCCTCTGAGATAAGATACAAGACTGTAATGGCAAGTACTAATAAAATGCAAAGCAAACTGTACTGTAAACACAACACATTCAAAGTCGGTTATTCGAGGAATTCAGTTATTCAAGAGGCTGAAAATAAAACCCAGACACCTTCAACATCATATCATGCTTCTGTAGAAAACACTAATTATTCTAATAGAAACTTGTTCTCCTTGCATGCCCAAGGTGAAAAGGTTCAAAATCTGGAAGTTCACTTTAGAATTTCTCTTGTGTTTCAATATTAAAACTTAAAATTCTCTTTTCAGTGCCACAGTTGTCATACAACATAAGCAAATCTGGGCTACTGCACTTTCAACTAAGCTGCAAAAATGACACCAGTGGTGAAAAAAAGACCTGCATAGTACCTTTTATCTATACGTTCCAGGACTGAATTGAAACTACGAAGCTGGCTTAATCTCATAACATTTAGTCACTGAAATACAAGCATGACCAAATCATGGCACATGCTGCTTTATTAGTGCTCCCGCAGACAGAAATACGGAAAAATCATGTTTTCTCCTTAAATATATACATACAGAGTCTCTCTGTATGAAATGTATATTTCCTTTATATATATATATACACCTTTATATGAAAGGTACATATAAAGAAAGCAAGTTATTTGAAAGTCATCTAGTGGTTATAATCTTTCTCTTATAAAGTGCCTATTCTTTCTGGACATCAAAAGTTCAGAAAACAGGTCAGTATACACGGCTTAGACCTGTATACTTAGCCAGTGTGAACAGAAACACCATGAAGGGCTAAAATATCACCTTGCACAAACTCTTCATCTTTATAATGTATCATAGGTAAGTCCTTACTTCCCACAGAATTTCATTTTATCACTTCAAAACAAAGAAAGAAAAGAGGTTTTAAATGGGAATGTGACTCACAAAAAATAGTCACCACATATAATTGCACCTTAAAGCCAAACCAACCACAACATCGTCCTCCTAAGACTGCTCTATCTACCAAAGGGTAAGGATAAAAGGACCTGGCTTATGGGTCATCAGAGCCAGTTGTGAGCATGGTAGAACATATAACATCATCTGCTCTTCAGTAGATATGTCATTTTTACATCTCAGCAATATACAACTTCACACCCAAGAATAAAGATCAATTCAAATCCCTGTGAACAAAATATTTGCTGAATGAACAGATACATTTGAATCAGACTAAAATTCTAGACTTCCAAGGCTGATAGCACCTCAAGGGAAACAGACAAGGTTCCATTTACACAATCACCTGACATGATGTTACAACTAAACACCTGAAGTTGCTTTTGGGCCCAACAACTTCATCTTAGAAGCAGTAACAGTGCTATTAGAGCTTTTTATTAGCATGTATGTTTAAGGTAAAAGAAGAAACTTATCTTCAATGTATGGAATTTTGATTTAACACAATTAGACTAGCAGCCTCACTTGATAGCAGGTGTAATTGATAGGTCTTATAATGAGGTCACAGTATAGAGGAAATCCTTTCAAAGTCTCGGCACCAAAATATGAAACCACATTGAACTACATTGGAGAAGGGTAGGATCTTCAGGACACCTACCTTAATGCTTTGTAACTGTTCATGTAAAATAGCATGTCATGTTGTACGTGACAACAACCAACTTCTAGAAACACCAGCAGAAGGCCCATCTGATGTACATAAAGGTTTTCTAACTCAATTAAATATGGTATTTTTTTCTTTTTAAGAAAAAGCAGAATGTTTCCTGAACACAGGCTACAGGATGCTGTAGGCTACTCAAACTGGTAATCCGTATATCATAATAATTTTTCATCTCCAGTTAATCTGTAATGGACTCATCACTTGGCAGTTGTAAACCTAATATAATCCCCCAAACACCATACTAGTTTATATACTACTTTCTTATTCAAGCTAATACATTGGCCTTTAAACAAATCAAAACCTGCTTAAATGGAAGTGTTTGGGGTCAGTAGCACCATCTTTTCAATAGTTCTCAACTATTGAAAAAACAATCAACTATTGAGAAATTAATCCTCATAACAAGCTTTTTTAAAAGAAAAAATATTACATTATCCTAAGAAGTGATGAGGGGAAGAGAAGTTACACAGGAGTATATCTCCTCTGGCCTGCGGTGGGCACTTTATTCTTGCCAAGGCTATCCATTTTATAAGGCTATCAAATGCAATATTGCTTTCTCCTTTACTACCTCAGGTTTTTGAGGAAAACAGGCCAGAGATCTCTACCACTGTTCCAAGTCACTGATAGGCAACAAGTGACTGATACTTTTCAGCCTACAGGGCTCCAGCCAAAAGGACTGCCAGGCTGGCCCAGAGAAATTCGTGATACTGATTAATCATTTGATCTCTTAAAACACAAGGGGCACTAGCTGCATAATGGAGAGAATGTTACTCTAACTCTTAAGGGAAGCTTAAGTGTTTTCTCTTCTCCAACATAAACCAACACTGCATGATTGTCAATCCTGGATATGAGGCAGCAGCACCAGTAACCCAATTGTTTGCATCGTGGTACATTTACCAGCATCAAACAGTCTTTTCTCTTTCCCTCTAGCAAGGGAGTTTTTAGACAGAACACAAAACTGTAAGAGGAAAAAAAGGATGGCAATTGAGTGAAACTGATCTTACAGTATAGGAAAACAGGACAGATCTTTTTCTTTTTTTTTAACCAGTGTATTAAGTTCAGCTTTTTACGCGGTGTTTGGAAATCTGAGGTCTGACTTCTGGAAAACATGGGACAAGAAATTCTGCTACATTCAGTGTAAAACTTTGACAACAAGCCTCTCATTTGAACTGTTTTCTCAGACAAAGTAAAGTACCAACAGAAAAAAAAAAACCAACCAGCTAAAGTGACCTTTAGTTCAGCTTTCGTTTGGTTTATTTGTGTTTTTTTTTCTCCAGAAGAACAGATTAAGATGACCACAGCTAGGGCTAATAGGGTAACTGAATTGTTCACCAGGTCCCCCAGTTCTCATTATTTAGTTATTAGGTTATTTACTTTAGCAGAAAGAGTTCCATGCTTTTTATATGTTGTGACAAAAAGTTGCAAGGCTCAAAGTAACAAAGACAGAATCTCCTAGCCTTAATGTTCTACCAGGAGAGAATGCCTTTTCTTAGTAGAACTCTGGCGTAAAACACTTTTTCTGACCTATTCCGGTTTCCTGGCAGCTCCACGTGCTGCTGAATTTTTGTTTGGCCAAAAGATGAAAGTTGCCATTTGATGAAAAAATTGCACTTTTTAAGTGGAAGCAAGGCACAGCAGTCACTGCACCCACTCTGACAAAAGCAGCGTGTAGAAAAAGTGAAAACTGTACTCAAGGAACTAATATGTTTTTAATGCTTTACTCTGCTCCTGAATTCAAGTAACAGAAAAAAGGGATTTAAGTAGTAGTCTCATAAAGCTCTATAAAAAAATAATTGAGAACTAAAGAAGATGAAGCTAGACTGGATGGATAAACAAGTGACCCTTCACCTAATACTGCCTCATCTTCTGTTATGCTAAAAAGGAAAAAAGAAGTCTCATCTAACTGCCTCTTAATGGCACATAATACTATAACCTCTTAGTAAAAACTAAGACTTGTTGACATTCTAACAAATTCTAATTCTTGGCATTTCACATGAGTAAAACCATCCTTTGGGGAACTAAGCTTCTTCACAAATTCATGGATTTCAAAATAAAACTGGCACTAACAGCTCAATTTGCAACATGCAAAGAATAGGTTCATATTTTAAAGCAGTACTTTTTCCTTTTTACAAACATAGTTTTGCTTATATAATTTTGTTTATCTGCAGGAGCATGCAGAGAAGAAAGGCTTTAAAATGAGAAATTATCCTAATTATAGAAGCTTTGCACCTTTTTGTATTGCAAGCCAGCCATAAAAATCACTCAATTATTCCAAAGAATATATACAAAAATACGACAAAGCCAGAGCAGTGAAATTCACTCTTGCAACAAAGCCAGTAAGAAACATGACATGAAAACATGCATTTATGAGATGCGAGACAGAAAGCGTGAGGTATTGTAGAGAAATGGAATGGGACACTTACACAGTGGCTCTCTCTCAGGGGGTCCTGATGGTTACTATGTTCTTAAACCATCTAGACAGAATAGCAGGCTGGGCAGAAGGGAGCCACATACAATCCACCAGATGACAATGCTACACAATGTAGACACCAGCATAGCTAGGAGCCATCTAAAAAAGGGGTTGGAGGGGGGAGGAAAAGATGAACAAAAATTCAAAAGCAAAAGCTATTGGTGCATTTCAGCTTGTTTCAAGTTCTTCAAACACATATTGCTCTATAACCATTGCCACGCATTTTCTTACTTTTTATGACTGTAACAATCCATGCAATGATAAATTGCCAAATGTAGTATGCGTGTGTTGCTGGAATCAAAGCAAATTTTCTGAAATCCCCACTATAGTCATCTATTCCAAGGAAAGTTTACATTGCTCTTTAAAAAATAAGCGCATGCTGGGGCCGTACATCTCTGACCACTTGCTGCCATCTTTTACACAATTTGATCAGCCTGTACTCATATATCCTACTTGAAAATCACGTATTTTAACACTAAAACAGTAGATCGGATCAATTTGTAGGAACAATTTATGTACAGATGCTGATGATGGGGTATATTACCTTCCTGTGTTTAAAGTAGCAAAAGCTAATTCATAATCCTTTCCAAAGGTGCTGAACATTGCTAATTAAACACACTAAGTATAATTAGAAGTATCCATTCATCAAAGCATACAGAGTTTCTACAACCAAATACAATAAACATTAACAAATGTTATACATAAATCCCTTGCAACTTAAATGTAAGAAATGTCTCTAGCTCTCAAAGACTGTAATTGTCCCACCTTCTGGTGCTCTTACTTTGCTTTTTTTTGTTTCTTTTCTGCGAAATATAACTACATAGAGGATTCTGAAGCTTCTTTCTGTTTGCTTAGATAAAATTAAATCATTTCGCTGCAAGATTAATTGTTTTTAACAGCCTGAACTAAAAAGGGAAAAAGTCTGACACCTCTTCTAGTAAGGAAGACTTCTGACCCAGGTAAGGCAGCTAAGTATTTCTAGTGATATTTTCATTTAACAATAGCAGTACAAATAATGTAAAAAGCTATACATTCATTTTTCACCAAAATATTTCAAGCTGCAAACCATACATGTAACTCGGGGGAACAGGAGGTGGGAAATTCCAACTCCCTGTGTGACTATGCACACTATAAAACAACTATAAGCTCTAGATCAATTACTTTAATGCCACAGAAGTACAAGCTAACTAGTTTTGATTAGAGCAGTTGTTGCAGAATGCTTCATGAACGGACCAATATTTTAATAGTTGATAAGCTTTCTGCATATGAAGACAATGGCTTTGAATAGATTACTATAAAGACTACATTTATTCTGTGGAACATATAATAAACAAGACCTTTCACAACCTTTATTACATGACTTAAAGTACCTTTTATGAAAAAATATTATGAAGTGGAAACTAAGGCTCTGTGTGCCTTAGAAATTAATGTGCAATGCAGCTGTTTCTGTACTGTCTTATTTGAGTTAACCAAGGTGATGTATTTTGGGTTTTTTTTAATGTCAACTGGGTACAGGCTTTGTTCTGAATCTGTTGTTTCTTATATGATTGCCTGTGTATATGATGAGCATGAACAAAAGAGAATCTTTTAAGACAAAAGCACAATTCTTACATAGCAATCTGTGACGGTTTCAAAAAACATATTACTTTACATTCAGCGCATTCTTACTACATACGTCTCACCTTTTCAAAAAGTCTGATGACACTGTTTGGTCTTTTAAAAAAAAAAAAAAAAGAACAACAAAAAGAAGAAAGGCCAGCAGCTAGCAGCATCATCCCCTACAGAAAGACAGCACAATAAAAGCCAAGTTGCCTTTGGTCTGTGACTCTGGTGCTGTGTTATTTGCAAAAATATGACAGCTAAGGGTCTCCATTTCTCTCCTAGCAACCAAATGAAATCCAGATATGTCTTGCAAGTCCTGCATTCTCTTGTAGTTTATTTAAGGGCAGACAGAAAGTTTTTCTACCTACAGTTATTACAAGCTACAACAGATGCAATGGCTATTACAAACTTTCTTTTAGAGGTGGTGTTCCAGTTCCTGTCTAAAATAAAGGTTCCTTGAGGAGAAATGGACTTGTTTTGAATTTAGTTACTGAAATAGTGCTGCTCCCTGCCTTCCAGATCTACCAGTTGTTATCCCAAAACCCATAGGATTTAGGAAAATTTCCTCTCCAAGGAAGAGGAAGTGAAAGGAGGCTAAAGATTCTTCTTTCAAATCCTAGATAGCTGACTTTACTTCAAAAAATGCATACTTTATTTCAGCCAATCAAACACCACCATGGAGAGTCATACTCTTCCATTTTTATGCTACCAGAGGAAGCACAAGGAATGTTTGTGATTGAACTAGAAGTAAAGCATTCAGAAATACTACAGGAGCTTGTAAAGCGCAGACTACTGGAATCAGAAACAATGCAGAAAACTAGAAACTGAATGATGCAGCTCTTTAACCAAGTTCTCCTGCCTCCTTTGCACTCACCAAGCCTTCAGAGAAATTGTGAATCTCATGCTTGTTTTAAATGAGTAAAAGCAGCCTTGGCAATAAACTCTTGGAGGCAAAAGGAGGTGTGCTTAAAGAGGAGGATAAAAGTATTTCTTGCATTTATACATTCAGGAACTCACGTTAACACTGATGGAGTTGGAGCTTTTGCCTGTCTTCTACTTTTCAGAGCACGAAGTTTATCACCTTGTGTTACACAATTTGTTTCATCTTCATCACTGTACTGGATAAGTGGAGGCAGGGAAGGGGTAAATCAAGATTAAAATATAGACACTTAGACATTTAAGAATTAACCTTATCTTAAAACTTGAAGTTAGAATTATCCTAACAGGAAAGTTTGTCAGCATAAAATCAAAGGAAATTCATTTGCATAAATACAATGCTGTTCTTTCCAGTTTCCTGTTTGCTGGTTTTAAACCTGCGAACCATTAAGTGGTCTCATGAATTACATGCATCAGAATGTTGTCTACCTTTAAAACAGTTGAAACAATATCAAGTGTTTGCTTAGGTACAATTTTCACTCAAGTACGGCATTTTCCTCCTTCACTTACCTTCTTAAAACAGCAGGTTTTTTTAAAATGTAGCATCAAAAAGTATTATAGAAATTGCAGTTACTTTGAAACTAAAAAGAGCAAAAAACCTTTCATCTCTTCCCTCTAAGCACATATAATGAAGTAATAGACAATCCAAAACAAAATCACAGTGTTTTTGATTGCAAATTTTAAATACTTTTTTTGTTCTAATATCTACCTATTAAAGTATAAGGATGCTCCTACTTCACCTGTCTACTGCACTTTATTTTTCATACTTGCTGTCCATAACTTCCCCCCCCATATCCTTTGATACAAAAAGTGCAAACAGAAAACAATTTGATTAACAAAGTTTTACTGTACCCACAGGTTTCTTCAGAACCTGAGAGATCCTCAACAGCAGAAACAACTTTTATAAGAGCACAATGTTCAGATGGTTACCAGTTCTATGTCCTTTCGGCTCATTCTCCTGTTTCTTGTATCGTTAATTGAAATATCATCTACTCCTGAGAGAATTCTTGTTACAGCAATTTTACGGTTTCCTTTCAACTTTGCACGGAAAATATCTCCTTCTGTCCAAAGTTCTGCCTGTTTGCTATCATAACATGGAAAAAAAAGCCCAAACCACAACAAATTAACACTAAAGATTATTAAGTGCACAATAAAAGAAGAAGAAAAAAGACATCTAGATCTATTTTTGGAATCATTTAAAGTTAATTTACTTACTCCATCAGGAAGTGTTGTTGCGGTCCAATCACTGAACCAGGTCTATTTATTCTAATCCAGGCAATAGTTTCAGCAGCTGTCATCCGATAATGCTTCATAATATAACAGGCAATAAGTGTGCCAGTTCGTCCAAGACCAGCTGTGTAAGATAAAAAAATGGCTTCTTTTATATACCCATCTTCATCTGGAATCTGCTGTAGCTACTTGGACAAATAAGTTACTTGCCTAGTTTATTAAACAAGCCTCTTACTATGCAATCCACCTTTTGAATTTTTTTTCCATACACAAAGATGCTACCACATTCATTCGTTTTTTTTTTTCAGTGAGGTAACCTTCCAAAGCCATTGACTTTACAAATATCTTTAAGTTTATCTATCTTTTTTTACTTATCTATCTATGAATATGTATAAGAATGTTTTTGTGCACAGGATAAAACATCTGGCTTTTTTCCAAAACTCTCAAAGCACCTCTTACAAATTGTATTACGTTGCCCAGAAACCAGCTGCTCTTCCAATCCCTCCTCTAACTAATCTGTTAATTTAGTTGCCAAGAAAAAGACAAATTTTGCAAAAAGCAAGTCTGGTACTAGCTGCCTCAGGCAAAAAGTACTCCAGAATGAGGAACCTTCTTTTCAAAGGCCCTCAAAACAGTTCTATTTACCTTGGGAAACATGAGAAGGAAAGGAGGACAGCTCCAGCTAAGCAGCTTCTCTCCTCAATGACTTGCTATAAATGCCAAACCACACAACACCTTCTGTCATTTAACAAGAGACTAATCTTCAGTTCAGCCCAATAGTCAAGACAACCACACAACCTTGATGAGCTTTAAGAACAGGCTACAGCATTTTACTCTTTTCTCAAGAGTAAGAGCAGGTTGAGAAACATAAAACAGTGTAGACACTATTAGTATGATAAATACCAAAGCACAGCTTAATTTGAAAGAAAACAAAGCCTTGTACCCTTAATACTCAGTACTCAGTCATAATTACATTAAGCAATATGCCCAAATTTATCAGCTCAGTGGAGTATAAAAGTATGCATTTGCTTCCCAACAGTTAAGAGGATGTTTTTACCAATTCTACTTCACAGTATAACCTTGTTAAACACACAGCAAATGGATGGCAGATCCAGGAACAAAAATGCAGTCTTTGCAGCTTCCAGGCAAATGAGTTAAGAAAAGGCCGTTCTCCTTCAATCACAGCATTATCAGGAATGTTAGTGAGGAAAAGTTTGTGTCTGATAGACTATTAAAGATGGTGTTGGAAGGGAAACATAGTTCCTCTAGAACCACAGAAAACTCTGTCTTTATAGTTGCTGATAATCTTTTCCTTGGCAGACCAATTCTGGAGGAACAGATATTCACAACATACCCAATGTAGCTTATATAAAGGATTTCTGAGGGATAAAGATTTCTGTGGTTCTGGAAGAACACTCATACTTTATGAGGAATCTCCTCAAAAAGCTGCATTGACATTTTCAGAAGTTTATGACTTGGTATATTGAACCATGTATTTTCAGAAAGATCTATAAACCTTGCCAGGAATTCAAATTCCTTCTCAAGACCATCCTGTGACAGTGCTAACACCTTCTAACAGAAAGCTGTTAGTATCAGCAAGCTCACTTTCCCCAACCTCCTTCTTGCAAACAGCTGGGAAGATTTTTCTAGAACTTAAAAATTTAGAAGATGAAGTGCAGAACAGAAGCCTATGTATGGAATACATACGTATGGAATACATACTCTTAGCAGAGTACTTCTCTTAGAGAAGTTAGTAACTAAATATAATATAAACATAATGGAATTATAATGCAAAATACCTCAGGAACTGTAACTATAAGCATCACTTGTAATATAAATTGTTTTTACGCTATACCTTTGCAGTGAACGGCTATAACACCTTCAGCATTTTCACAAATATTTAGAAATGTTTTAACTATAGTATCACTAGGTGTGCTTCCATCAGCAAAGAAGAGGTCAAAATGCTCAAATCCAGCATCTGTAAATCGTTTGGCATCATACAGTTTTTTGTTGAGGCGTATTATAGTGGTGACCTTATGTTTCCTGAAGTATGGGAAATAAGCTTCTGGAGCATGGTGGGGATAGCCTATTTGAAAAAAAAGAAAGGAAAAACAAAGGAACAGAGTAAGGCTCAAACTACAGAAATAAACAAAGACTCAAAAACAAGAGATGAAAAAAACTTGAAAACAGAATTCATGTTCAACACAAAGAAATAGACTAACCGAAAATGGAATTTTAACATAATCACCTAGGTCAGATACAATCAAACCAAACATTAAAATTTTACCGCCAGGGTTCTTACAAAAGAAAAAGAGCCAAGGAAAAAACACACTGTTTGAGGAACAATTTTTAAAGCTTGTTCTTACTGATGACAATCAGCTAAGAAAGCAGTGGGCTTGTGTCCCCCACCTCCTCTTTTAAGCATACCATTTTCAATTTTACTTCTTGAATGAGGTCCACTGAAGGCAATGAATTTGTTTGGTATTATCCAGTTAAAATCTCCATTTTCTGCTCTCTGTCAAGAGAAAATGCTTGATTTATCATTATCCCTGTATTTTCAGGCTTTTCCTTATTGTTTCAAAACACATGCTAGATAGCCAAAGGAAGTTACGTTAGTCGCCTGCTTTCTTTTCCATCGGGAGGATGCCAGATGCTCTCAAACTCACTTTTCTTGACCGTGTTCTCCTCTTTCTAAATCAGTTTTAGAACAACACAACTGATGCCCTTCAGATTAAGGGCAGCTTCCAGTTTTTAATTTTTTATAGGTTTCTAAATTATGACCCTGACCTTACCTCTGTTCACCATTATAAATATTGTTTTTTTAGATTTTAAGAACACAATTTTCTCTTTACAGATAACTGGCAGCTTTACATTTCTGAGACTGCATATAGTCAAGAGTTGTAGTCCTTCATTGACATATTCATTTCCCAAGCCCTGAAGTGGATTTTATAGGCTTGGAATTTCCCAGCCATCTTTCTTTCTTTACCTCGAAGAGTGTTATTATACATTTGCCATGTATTCACAGATAAATACTTTAATTGTTCTCCAGAATTCAGTTAGACTTAGACTTGTATGCCCTTGAAGTTTCTCATGAGAATATGCACTGCCTCTAAAAGTGGCCCAATTGCCGCTCCCCAATCATCTTCCAGAGTTTCAATAATAATGGAGAAAAGTATTTATTTCCATTTCAGTTTCTGCTTTTCCCCCATGTTTGAGGCTGACTATACTTAAATCTGAATTTCAATATTCTCTCTCTGACCACACACCTTTACAATCAAAGTTTAAAGAGACAAAACAGAAATGGAACCTAATACTACAAAAAAATAACACGTATTATAAGCATCTTATAATTAGTAACAGCAAACAAATCAGAAGACTGATACTGAACACTTACTTCATAATGCTCATATTCATTTACATCAAACGTATTGAAATCCAGGAAACCATACTGCAAAGCCTAAAATTCAGAATACAGGTTTTAACAAAGACAACATCTTTTCAATGAGGACAGTTTATCATTCTTTCAGGTTATTGAAATCCTCTTAGTATTTTCTACTCTTTCAGATAGATTTCTTCATCTATTTGGAAAAGATAAAGATCAATTTAGTCTTGGTTCAAAACAGATTTGTAAATCGTAATATAATTGAAGTTAGACAAGCAAATCCACTCTTTTTTCATTGAATTACTAAAAAAATCCAGACTACAGAAGCATTCAGTCTTTTTATTACTGCTAGGAGTACAAAATAAAAAAGAGAAAAATAACTGGCAAAAATTATATATTGAAATTATCAGCACATTCTAAAATCTGCATTCAAGGACTGTACATATTTTTGTGCATCAATGCTATTTGCTCTCATTATGATGCTAATATCTTCACTGAATTTAAAGTGTTTGCAGACACACAGTCCTAAGCAGACACTAGAGGGGTCCCGGATGTTCTGTAATTATCCACAACCATTATATTTACTATTATATAAAAAATGTAAACATTTGGGTAACTGGCAGTTTACCCACTTGCTAAGTCAGGAAGTACACACAAATGTAAAATTTGTAAATGTAAAAATTAGAATGTAAAATACTACATTCTAATCTCTTTACATTCTAATCTCCTCATTCACTGCATAATCTGTAGCTTTACTTGCTGTTCACCGGTACTAAGAAGAATAGCAACTCACTTTAGGCATACAAGCAGCCAGTGCCAACACATCCAAAAAAGCTGAAAATCACAAATCTGCAAGAAACTTGCTTAATCAGTAAACCCACCAGTATTTGGCAGAGACACTCATGATAAAAAAGACACTAGTAGGGTAGAAGGCTGCAGAAATCCCCATTGCACTACTCGTACAGTGTAAAAAGAGTTCATATAAATTTCCTTGCCTTCAATGCCACATTACTTCACCATTATATTGCTATAAAATATTAGATTATGATAATTTGTAGTTGTAAAAAAAAAAAAGCACCTTCCTACTAACATTTGTTCTATTTGTATTACTAAAGCAAAACTTTAAGTCATTAGCACATGCTGCAAATGCCTTAAAGATATCACTAACCAATTCAAAACCACTTTCAAAGGCTATATTCAGCCTAAAATGTATCACTGGGGGAGCATAGAATAAACCTATTGTATAGCTCTTAGGGATTAGATGTCTGAATAACTGTCCTGAGAGACTACATAAAAAACCCCTCAAAATTCCTCCTTTAAAATCTTCACTAGTTGATTACATACGGTATCGGTCAACTCCTATGGATGCTGTATCTAGAAATTTTGTTACAATGCATAATACATAATAACCTAAGCAACAATCAGAAAAATCTGCTACTGCACAGCTCTAATTGGATCCTAGTTTACTAAGCCTTCTTTTTCTGCTGGGCAATATTTAGCTGACCTTTTGTAATATGAAAAATATTGTTTTACTAACCTTGTTTATTGCATGAAAACAGTCCAGCAATGTGAGATGAAAACTGCAAGTACCAAAGGAAGCATCCCTATAACATATGATGACCAAAACAATAAAATTATCCCATTTTAATCCAAATGAAAACAGCTAAAGATATTTCTCTAAAAGACCTTTAAAAAATTGCTTCAAGATAATAACAATTATGGTGAAATAATTATATCAAATGATTACTTCATTTCCCATACTTTGCATCTTACAACAATAACAAAACAAAAAATAAGTTATGTTAACAGATGATCCAAGAGTAAGGTTACTCCAGTTGTAGTTTTGGTAAAACTGACATTCAATTTCTGACATGAACATTGAAACTGGTATGTTTCAGTGTTCATGTTAACGAAGACAGCACAAGCTCCTTCTGGCAAAAGCTAATGCCTGAGTTAGTAACATATTCTAACATACACCCTTAGAACATTTTCTTCTGAAATAAACTTCCAAAAAAGCAAATTGTAACACAAGGCAAATTTTCTTCAAACTCCATGTAGAATTAAAAAAGATCCTGTGCATATGTATTCTATGTATATGTGAACAGCTTCTTCTTAATAAAACTAAGATATACATTTGTGTAGATCTATTAAAAGATTTTCCTTAAGATGCATAAAATAGTTTATGCTTAAACATGAGAATAAACTAGTTTTCATTAAAATGCCTTCTTTCAACTACCATTTTTCAAATTCCCTGGATCCAAGAACGGCATGTGCTTAGTACGTGACCATTAGTAGATTCCATAAGCATGTACAATAAGCATTCTACAGGAACACTAGAGTCAAGTCAAAAAATAAATTTAAAATGAATTTACATGAAAGAATACTGTATCTTGGCAGAACACCTTCTTTTAAAACCATGCAGCCCTCATCAGCAGAGAGTCATTAATGTTTCAAAAAAGTAAAATATGTTCAAATTTCAACAGAGAGGAGGAAGAAGTTCTGAAGAACCTGAATGGCTGCCTCTACAGTTTGTATCCTTTTCCTCCCTGATGAATCAGCATAAAAGGTGGCAGAAAAAATCAGCAGGAGAAGGAAAAAACAGAACATCATTCAGGTAAAAAAGAAGACAGGTAAAGGTGACATTGCAGTGGGTGTCTGTTAGGCCACCTGACCAGGAAGAACAAGTGGATCAGGCTCTCTACAGACAGATAGCAGCAGCCTCACATTCACAGGCTCTGGTCCTCAGGGGACCTTCATTCTGATCTCTACTGGAGGAACAACATAGCAGGACATAAGCAATCCAGGAGGCTCCTGCAATGAACTGGTGACATCTTCCTCCTCCAAGTGATACAGATGCCAATAAGGAACAGTGCTCTCCTCATACTCACCAACAAGGAGGTGGTCGTTGAGGATGCAAAAGTCAAAGGCTGCAGTGACTATGAGGTGTGCTCAGGACCCTGAGGGCAGAGAGGAGGCTGAAAAGCAAGCTGACAACCCTGGTCTTTGGAGAGCAGACTTGGGCCTCTTCAAAGGGAGAGTCTCATGGGATAAGGCCCTGGGGAGAAGAAAGGCTCAAGAAAGCTAGTTAGTATTCAAAGATCATGCCCTTCAAACTTAAGAGCAATTTATCCTAACGAACATGAAACAGGCAAAAATGCCAAGAGGCCTGCATGGATGAACAAGGAACTCCTGTCCAAACTCAGACACAAAATGATAGCATACAGAGGGTGGAACAAGAACAGGTAACCTCAGAGGAATATGGATACAGTGTTTGAGCATCCAGGAACGAAGTTAGGAAAGTTAAAGCCCAAATGGAATTGAATCTGGCCAGAGATGTTAAAGAAAACATGAAGGGCTTCTATAAGTGACAAAAGGAAGACTAGGGAAGATGTGGACCCATCAACAAGTTTGCTGATGACACAAAACTGGGAGGAGTGACTTGATACAGGAGAAGGCTGTGCTACCATCCAGAAGAACCTTGACAGGCTGGAGAAATGTGCTAACAGGAACCTCATGAAGTTTAGTAAGAAGTTTGAAGTTCTGCACCTGGGGAGGAACAACCCCAGTGATACAGGAGAAGGCTGTGCTACCATCCAGAAGAACCTTGACAGGCTGGAGAAATGTGCTAACAGGAACCTCATGAAGTTTAGTAAGAAGTTTGAAGTTCTGCACCTGGGGAGGAACAACCCCAGGCACCAGTACAGGCCAAGGGCTGCCCAGCTGGGAAACAGCCTTGCAGAAAAGGGCCCTGGGGTCCTGGTGGACATGAAGTTGAACACAAGTCAGCAATGTGCCCTGTGACAAAAAAGGCTAATGGTATCCTGGATGACACTAAACACAGTATTGCCAGCAGGTCGAGGGCAGTAATCCTTCCCCTCTCCTCAGTACTAGTGAGGCCATGCCTGGAGTACGGTGCCCAGTTTTGGGCTCCTCAGTGCAAGAGAGGTATGGACATAACAGAGAGAGTCCAGCTGCAAAGATTTTTTTGTGACTGGAGCATCTCATACAGAAGGAAAGGCTGGGAGAGCTGAGACTGTTCAGCCTGGAGAAGGCTCACAGGGGGACCTTATCAATGTATACAAATGTATACAATGTATACAAATACCTGAAGGGAAGGTGCAAAGAAGACAAAGCCAGGCTCTTTCAGTGGTGCCTAGTGACAGGACCAAAGATAATGGGCAAATTGAAACACAGAAGGTTCCCTCTGAACATAAGGAACCACTTTTTCACTCTGAGTGTGTTTAAGCACTGGCACAGGTTGCCCTGAGAGGCTGTGGAGTCTTTATCCTTGAAGACATCCATAAGCTATCTGGGCGTGGTCCTGGGCAACCGTCTCTAGGTGGCCCTGCTTGACCAGGGATGTTGGATCAGATGACCTCCAGAGGTCCCTTCCAACCTCACTAGGATTCTAAAAGTGAAAAAATAAATTGTTTGCATCCTGCTAACAAAAGTTTCAGTGTTTATAATGGCCTTAATTAGCAACTACCAGATTGACAACGACTTATCCTATCGGAAGGTACTGGTTTTTTGCAGATGAAGAAGATCTTAAAGAACAGGGCCTAGACTAACATCTCAGTTGATTAACACAGTCTGAATTCCTCTATTAGCACCAGGTTTAGTTGCACTACTAAACTCAAGAAAATGGTAAAGTTTGCAGACACTTCAAAAGACTACATTCTTTATTTCAGAGGCTGGACTTGTCTTCAGAAGTCAGCTCTCTGTACGTCTTATGTATAACACACCTTTGCATTTCTTTCAGTATTGCTGTTGAAGTGATGATCTGGGAATTTGGGCATGGTACATGACCCGAGTAAAAAGCTACTATCTCCATCACTCACATAGACCTTTATGATATTTAGAAACAAACCTTACAATCATCCTAAGGAGGACTTTTGTTCTTCTGGTAATATAAAAATGGAATTTAAAAGTAAGAAATGGGATAATGGAAGTATGCAAATAAAGACAGGTGCTACTACTACATTATATTTTGGTGGTAGCAGCGGGGAAGTAATATAAATTCAAATCATCAAAAGCCCATCTCTTGGCAAAACAGCTAGAAAACACAAACAAGCAAGGGCTGAATTAATCACCCCATGACAATATATTTGGACAGTAAACTTGCCTCCTAAGAAGTTTTTTGGCCATTCTTTTCTGCATACTGTGGCAGCCCATGGAACATTAGCTTAGTCCAACTTTTAAAAACCCTTGCTTGAAAGAAATTAAGAAGTTGTTCCTATGCACATCAGATTGACTTTATTTGCTACATTACACAGCAAAGCATATACCACAAAGAGAGGTGTGTGGCCTGAAACAGCTAGAATTACATACCCTCAGGGGTAAAAAGACGTGCATTAAAGTTACAATAAATCATAGTAAGTTAGCTAGCGTTCTCTATGCACAAAATACTTTTTGCAGGTTATTGCATACATTCCACAAGCGGGAAAACCAGAGTGCTAGAAGCATTACAAGCCATTTTTGATGAATGACAGACATTCTGATATATTTAACTATCACCTACTGGCACAAAACCAGACTGCCAAGTGAGAAGCAATGTAGATCAAAAAGCTCAACAAAAGTACATAGAAAGCAGCACAGCTTTCACCTTCTGTCAGTACCAGCTGCTAACACCCCTGTTCAGCAGTCTGCACTTAAAGCTCAGGCAGTGAACGTGTCATGGGTTAAAACTTCAACAGCCTCCCTACCCCAGAATTGGTACTGCTTAATGCTACATTCTTCTTCAAAATATCAAAGTACAGGAAGTTCTAACAACTTGCTATTTACCTGAAAGGAAGATATGAAACGCTTCCAGCCAATATAAGCCTGTACACGTCTTCTGGGGATTCTCTCAGGTATATTATCTATTTTTGTGGAAAAGGACAGAAAAGAAAAAGATTATTTTAATATTGATATTAATAACTTCAAGTCACTTGTTTAATACAGAAGGTAGAAAATTAATTATCACAAAGCTTAAAAGTGCTGGAAAAAGAGTGGCATCAAGAACAAATGTATGCAAGTGTGCAACAATAAAACTTACATAAAAAATATAAAATACTGGTCAACCTAGAGAGATATATATTTTTAACGGAAATTTATAGATTTGTGGAGGAGTTTTTCAGCTGGAGGCTACAGTGAAAACATCCTGTCCCTCTGGATTCTTCCATGTTTCTACTGCAATTCTGCTGGACAGTCTGTAGATTTTGTTTTTTTTTTTTAATTAAGCTTCAAAACACAAAAAGCCACAGACATATCAGCAAAGCTATGAATCATCTGGTCTACCAAACAGTGTATACACTCAGCAGAGAAGATTAAAACAGTAATTCTTGTATGTTTTGATTTTCCTACAGCAGTACATTAGCATGATTCCAAAGCCTGCACTTTCTCCTTTGCACTGGCAAGGCAGTATTCAGTAACTAAATCCAGATGCCATAAAGGAAAAAAAAAAAAATAAAAGAAAGAAGTCTGTAGTCTCAGAAGCAAAATCTTAAGAACAGAATGAAGTAACATACTTGAAGCACTATGTACCAAACTTTCTACTGTCAAAAACACTCAGAACAGAATTCACATTGGATGAACTCACAACAATTACCATATGGTCTTCCATCAGGACATGCCTCATCCCTTTTGTGTAGCCCCTAACACTAACCTCTCCTTTAAGAATTCCACAAAACTCCTCTTTTATGCAAATCATGTCTTCCAAGAGTATCAAACACCATCCCCAGAAGGGCCAGGAGATAACAAATGTGAATAACAAGCTATCATTAACAGGTCAATATTCAGTCATTTCAGGTTAATATTTTTTCTTTAAAAATGCATTTACTGAGATTTACACACTACAGAAAGCTCTATTTTTCATCAACATTCTGTAAAATTATTTACATCTCTTATACTGATGACTTTTTTCCTTAGAGGTTTTTTGGAAGTATGAATCTGAATTAAAAACCACCCAAAAATCTAAGTGTGGCATTTTTTATTTCTGTTGCTTTTGACACTTTTTCTTTTAAAAGTTGGCATTGCCTTTCAAATTTCTTTGATGCTGCTGCAAAGCCAGTTTGAAGAAATGGCTTAGCATACCTTCAACATCCTCTCTCCACACTCACATATATACTTGTGAGGTGGGAATGGCTGGTGGAACAGATGTTGATAAAAAAAAAACAACAAAACAAACCACGAAACAAACCCAGCTCGAAACACATCCTAAACAGACAGCTAAAACATACATGGCAACAGCTAAACACTTTTGTTTTCCCTCTGATTCGATTACTGTGTTAAGTATGTTCTGATAATTCTTCCTGTGCAATTAGCAAAACCAAAGAAAAAAATATCTGTCTTAGGTAGTTTGGTCAAGTAATGAAAACTGCATGTTTTGTCTGTGTGTATGCTTTCACTGGGGAGGGGTAAGTGACTTTTGCATTTATATTTGCAAGCATACACCTGGAATAGAAAAGAGACTTTAAAAGGTAGAATAGAAAAGAGACTAAAAAAGTCTTAAAAACGCAGGAGGCAGGTCGTCCCTGCGTGCTGTAAAGTGAACTGTCAGGGGAAAAGACTGGCCTGGCTGAACAACGAGATATGGTCACAACTCAGGGAAAAATGGAGAGTTTATGGCCTTTGGCAAAAGGGGCAGACCACTCAAGAAGGTTACAACAGTGTTGTAAGGCTATGCAGGGAAACGATTAGAAAGGCCAAAGCTTAACCGGAACTTAATCTGGCCTTGGATGTTAAAAAACATAAAAAGAATTTCTATAAATATAGTAGTAACAAGAGGAGAACTCCAGAGAATCTCCATCCTCTGTTGGATGGTAGGACAAAAGATGAGAAGAAGGCTGAGGTACTTAATGCCTTCTTTCCCTCAGTCTTCAGTAGGAGAGTTGGTCGTTCCCCGAGTACCCAGACCCCTGGGGCAGCAGATAAGGATGGGGAACAAACTGAAGACTCTGTAATCCACAGGGAGGTGGTGAGGAACATGCTCCAACACCTGGATATAAACAAGTCTATGGGCCCAGATGGGATCGACACGAGGGTACTGAGGGAGCTGGTGGAAATGTTCACTGAGACACTTTCCATCATTTACCAACAGTCCTGGCGAACTGGGGAGGTCCCAGCTGACTGGTGTCTAGCAAATGTGACACCCATCCACAAGAAGGGTCAGAAGGATGATCCAGGGAACTCCAGGCCTGTCAGTCTGACCCCGGTGTCTGGGAAGGTCATGGAACAGATCATCCTGGGCGACACTGTGCAGCGCATGAAGGATGCCCAGGACATGAGGGTACTGAGGGAGCTGGTGGAAATGTTCACTGAGACACTTTCCATCATTTACCAACAGTCCTGGCGAACTGGGGAGGTCCCAGCTGACTGGTGTCTAGCAAATGTGACACCCATCCACAAGAAGGGTCAGAAGGATGATCCAGGGAACTCCAGGCCTGTCAGTCTGACCCCGGTGTCTGGGAAGGTCATGGAACAGATCATCCTGGGCGACACTGTGCAGCGCATGAAGGATGCCCAGGTGATGAGGCCTAGCCAGCACGGGTTCACGAGGGGCTGGTCCTGCTTGACAAACCTGATCTTCTTTTATGATAAAGGGACCCACATGATGGATGAGGGAAAGGCTGTGGATTTTTTTTAGTGGATTTTAGTAAGACCTTTGATACAGTCTCCCACAGTATCCTCCTGGAGAAACTGGCTGCTCATGGCTTAGATGGGTGTACTCTCCACTGGGTAAAAAACTGGCTGGAGGGCCGGGCCCAGAGAGTGGTGGTGAATGGAGTTAAATCCAGTTGGAGGCCAGTCACGAGTGGTGTCCCACATGACTCAATGTTGGGGCTGGTTCTCTTTAACATCTTTATCAACAATCTGGACTAGGAGATAGAGTGCACCCTCAGTAAGTTCGCAGATGACACCAAATTAGGTGGGAGTGTAGATCTGCCTGTGAGTAAAAAGGCTTTGCAGAGGGATCTGGACAGGTTGGGTCCTGCACTTGGGTCACACCAACCCCATGCAGCGCTACAGGCTGGGGGCAGAGTGGCTGGAGAGCTGCCTGGCAGAAAAGGACCTGGGGGTGTTGGTCGACTGTCGGCTGAACATGAGCCAGCAGTGTGCCCAGGTGGCCAAGAAGGCCAACAGCATCCTGGCCTGTATCAGGAACAGTGTGGTGAGTAGGACCCGAGAGGTGATCGTCCCCCTGTACTTGGCACTGGTGAGGCCTCACCTCGAGTACTGTGTCCAGTTTTGGGCCCCTTCCCACAAAGAAGACATTGAGGTGCTGGAGTGGGTCCAGAGAAGGACTGGTGAGGGTAACCAGGGAGGTAGGGAGAGTAAGTCTTATGAGGAGAGGCTGAGGAACCTGGGGTTATTCAGCTTAGAGAAAAAGAAGCTGAGGGGAGACCTCATCACTCTCTACAACTACCTGAAAGGAGGTTGTATAGAAGCAAGAGTTGGTCTCTTCTCCCAAGTCACAGGTGATAAGAAAAGAGGAAATGGCCTCAAGGTGTGTCAGGGGAGGTTCAGATTGGATATTAGGAAAAATTTTTACATTGAAAGGGTTATTAGGTATTGGAATGGGCTGCCCAGTGAAGTGGCTGAGGCACCATCCCTGGAGGTTTTTGTATGACGGGTTAACATAGTGCTTACAGACACGGTTTAGTGGTGGTTTTTTATCAGTTAGGTTGATGGTTAGACTAGATCTTCCGAAAGGTCCCTTGCAACCTAGACAATTCTATGATTATAGATATTAAAAGCCCCATAGTATTATTGGATAGCTGCTCCTCAGAGCCAGAGTTCACTTTCTATTCTGCAGACATATACATTGCCTGAATTGGATATAAAGTTTATATTCCAAGAAATTTCAAGTTGTGTGCTTGATACAGTCATACTTTGCAAGATGTAGCACAGGGAACACATATTGCTAGCAACCATATGAATGTAGCACTGCTTGCTTATCAGAAAAAAGAGCTCTGCCCCAGAAAAAGTTACGAACCAGAGACAGGAAATGGCATTAGCAAACCGAAGGTAATTAAACAACAGAGACAGAGTTTCTAGCCAGAAATGAGTCACCTGGAAAAAACCTGGGATTCAGTGCCGTAAGGCTGGGAAATATACAGAGAGTACTTCTCGTACAGCAGGCAAATAGAAATGCAGCTAATACTGTAAGCACATGAAGCTCTAAAAGGCCAAGGATTTCTCCCATACCTCAGCTGAGCTTTTACCAGCCTCTTAAAGAAAACAACCTTCAATGCAGATGCATTTGCTTCCAAGTGTAACAGCTGCAAGAGGCAAGGTTTTTCCATAATTTTAAGTGTTGTATTAAAATAAGCCTAAATAATGTTACAGTATACTGAAACATGTTAGTTCTTAAGCACAGATCCAACTTCTGAAATTACATTACCATTAGAAAGACCTTTTCAACATACATGCACGTGTGTATGGACTTTCCTTAACATATGAACACTCACTATACACAAGGACGCTTAAAAAAGCCAATCTGATTTCAACACAAAAATCCAATGACTACAAGCGTTTACTACATACAAAAAAAACCCCACTGCAAGAAGATGGCATTTTTTAAAAAATATGCAGTACTTCTGTACAGCTGAAGCAATATACAATTTATTCACTGAAGAAGGAAGCTCTTCAAGCTGGATTTCTCAGAATTTTCTGAAATAGAGATCCCGCTACACTTCAGCTGTGACACTACTAAACAAAAGAGATACAACATGTTAACAGTTGCAGTAACAGCAGTTAATGAAATGGTCAAATAGTGTTCTCACTGAAAAGTGGCTTACAAAAAAAAAATAGGTTAGTATGAGGGTATCTAGACAGGTGCAGTGGTATGTTGTGCTTTAAAAGGGAAGAACGGCATTCA